AAGTTTCTGAATAGTTTCCAGAGTTCAGTATGGTGTCTGGAGGCTATATCTCAACTTCCCATCTTCTTTTTTTTCCAGGTTGCTCTCTTCATTGATTATACCTGCCTTGGTATTAAGTGGAGGTTTATTTCTCTGTCTGTTGCTTCTACTCTGTGCTTTACGATTCTGGCTTCAACGACAGAAAGATTTGGAAATGCCTCCAGGAAATGATGGGAAAAAGCCACTTGTAGTTGCATTTTTCCATCCATATTGTAATGCTGGTGGTGGTGGAGAGAGAGTGCTATGGTGTGCTTTGAGAGCTTTACAGAAAAAGTAAGTAAACACATTTTTCATGCTTAAATATATGAATTACTGTATCTTCTGTATCTTGAGCCTATCTTCTGGAGTATTGGCTATTCCTGCCAGCTTGGTGCAATCTGCAAATTTGATGAGTTCCCCTTCTAGCCCCTCATCTAACTCATTGATGAAGATATTGAATAGTAGGTCAGTTTTGAGCCAAATGTATATAATTAACTAGACAACTCATACCCTTCCTGTTGGGTCATTGTTTGTGACTTCTGATTTCCCCATTGACTTTCTGGTGGAAATCTGGCAGAGAGCATTGGAAACCCTCTCCCCTCCAGGCAGCTAAGTGGCTACTGGTGGGTGGGAGAGGGAGCGAGGGATTGTGAGCTGCTTGGGAAACTGTCACAGAACATTGAAAATGAAGATTATGTGACTGCAACAGCCATGAAGTAGCAGCACTTGAAGCAGCCCAAACTTCCACAAATTTCATTCCCTTGAGAGTCATAGATCCCAGATTTTGGACACAATCTGTAAGTTAGCCCATTTGAGGTACCTTGGTTCAAAAATGGTTGCCCTGTTGCTGTCCCAGCCCAACACTAGGTTCATCGCTTCATGTGCCGAGGCCCAAAACTGAATACACTGAGGTAGAGATTGAAAACAAAAGTTTATTTTTAGTGACAATGGGAAATCTCCCTCAAAGCTGTTGTACCCCATTGATGTCTCATGGTGGCTTTTATACAGTAATTTCCACTATTTCACCCAGTTAAAGGTCTTGGCAATGAGTGTTTTAGTAGTATATGAATTCTCATGTGGGACCATTCTCAGATAACAGTGAATACATTTAAGGAAAAAACCCTCAGTACACCATGCTTAGGTTTACATTGTCCCAAACCTAATTTAGAATTGATTTAAATATCAATTTAAATATATGGAATATAATTTAGAACACACACACACACAAACAAACATGTCTGTCTGTTTACCTACCTACATTTGTGAGATGGGCCTTGTAAAATCTTGTGTGATACCCTAAGTGGATTGGAGCTGATAATAGCATTTTTTTTAAAGAAACCAACTATAGAACTCTGCTATGAGCATAGTGTGACAGTATAATTAATCATCTTTCCTCATTTAAAAGATTTGTAAATAAAAAAGAATAACAATCTGCAAGGGGTTCTTGCAGATGGGAGCTACTTAGATTAACTACTCATAAATTCATTCATGTGGTCCCTTCATTTGTTAATATTTTTGAGGATTTTCTGCAAAGCCTGATAGTGAAAGATTTGGGAGTAATTTTTAAATATCCAGGCATTATATAGCATTAAGCCATGGATTTAAAATTGGCTGAAAAGAGAACAAAATGTTGTCTGTATCTGAAATATTTTAATAGGAAAAAAATTTATTTCCAGGTACAAGAATGCCTCCTACGTTGTCTACACAGGTGATACTGGTGCTACAGCTGAGAATATTCTCGATGGTGCATACAGGCGATTCAACATCAGACTGAAACACCCTGTGAAGTTTGTGTTCTTAAAAAGGCGCAACTTAGTAGAAGCTTCCCAGTATCCATATTTCACTCTGTTAGGTCAGAGCATAGGATCCGTGTTTCTTGGCTGGGAAGCTCTTAGAAAGTGTATCCCTGATATTTACATTGACTCCATGGGTTATGCATTCACACTTCCTCTCTTTAAATATCTGGGAGGTTGCCGAATAGGATGTTATGTTCACTATCCTACAATCAGTACTGATATGCTTTCTGTGGTCAGGAATCAGCATGCACGATTTAATAATGCAGCCATTATCACAAAAAATCCCCTCTTAAGTAAAATGAAACTTGTATATTATTACTTTTTTGCTTCCATATATGGGCTAGTTGGTTCTTGCAGTGACACTGTCATGGTTAATTCTACATGGACTCTCAATCACATCCTTTCCCTCTGGAGGTGTACAGACCGCACAAGCATTGTATATCCACCTTGTGATGTACAGACTTTCCTGGATATTCCACTACAAGAAGAAAACAGGATTATACAACCAACAGTTGTTTCTATAAGCCAGTTCAGGCCGGAGAAGGACCACTCCCTGCAGATTAGAGCCTTTGCTAAATTGTTGGCAAAAACTAAAGGACAGCCACTATTGCCAAAGCTTATTTTGATTGGGGGCTGTCGTAACCTAGATGATGAACAGCGTGTAAGTGAACTTAAGAAGCTCTGTGAAGAGTTAGGCATTGAAGAACATGTGGAATTCAAAGTTAATATTCCATTCAAAGAACTAAAGAGGCATCTGGCTGATGCAACTATTGGACTTCACACCATGTGGAATGAACATTTTGGAATTGGTAGGTATTTTTGTGTATATCTATAAACTGCGTCTTAGAAAATTTGGGTCCATAAAATAGATTGTATAACGAAGATTTAGTTTGCATTTTCAGATCAAAAAGTGACATTCTGTCCTCAATACTACATCAAATTTGCATGGCAATTTACTATACTGGCCTGACCTAAAATGGTATATAAACTGCCACTAATACTTGCTATTAATAAGCAGTTATTTATTCTCATCAAGATTTTATGTGATTATCTCAGGTTTTCTCTGTTCATTCATAGTCCTAAAAAGTAACAGATGCTACTTGTTATGATTTGCATGTCATAAACATTATATATGATTAATTTTAATTTGTTTAATATTTTTGACATTCATGGCCAAATTGTCAACTGTTAAATACGGAAACTGAATACTTAGGAATTTTAAATAAAGACATAAAGATCAACAAGCAAGAGGCAATCTCCCCAGAAACCCATACCAGTGAAATGTTTGATAGGAGAGATATACTAGTATGCTGCAACACATTAAACATTTCTCTGAAATTTATTTATTTCATAGTATCTATAGCCTGCCCCAATTGTGCAGACTGAGCAGTAACCAACATTAAATCAATATTAACACAAATTTCATATAAGAGTACATCCAGTACATTTGAACTCAGAAGCTTATTAGCAACTATGATATGACCTCAAAATCAGTGTTACTCTGCTCTTATCAGACACTACATTCTGTATCTCCTGTTGCTTCTGTGTTGTCTTCAAAGGTAGCCCAGTATAGAGTGCAGGACTTAATGTTGCTAAGGTATTGTTCTTCAGATAGGGCTGAAAATATTGCACCAGCCAAAGCTGGTTAAAAGTCTCTCCTTACTGTTGAAGCAAGAGCTGCCAGTCAAGGAGATCATGTTTTTAAATTTCCTCTTAAATAATTTACTTGGATTTTGTGAATGCAGGATCAGGACTGGAATCTTAGGAGAAACACAGAAATGAACTCCGATGACTACTTTTTTGGAGAGCATTCTTTATCTAGTTTCAAATTTTCATTGGTGCACGTGCTACTTTAAAATCAGAAAAGATAAGAGTCTAAATTGTGCCTTTTCTTTTGTGTGCAAAGTTGCAATAGACAATGGCATTCTTGGTGGAGAAAGAATGGAAGAACTACAGTATTAACAGCAATCTGTTCTATGTCTGTTATAGGAATTGTTGAATGTATGGCAGCTGGCACAATTATTCTGGCTCACAATTCTGGAGGCCCAAAATTAGATATTGTGGTACCCTATGAAAGGAATATTACTGGATATCTAGCAGAAGATGAAGATGGCTATGCAAACTCTATGGCTGATATCTTTTCATTGTCTCCTGCAAAAAGGTTGCAGATCAGACAAAGTGCTCGTGAATCTGTGAAGAGGTTTGCTGATGAAGAATTTGAGGAAACATTCCTATTATCTGTACAGCAGCTATTTAAATAAAATATTTTGCTGATAAATATATGACATTCTTGAGTTATTATGGCACTACAAATATTCTACATTTCTATTTATAGTGCAATAAAGATTTTACTTTTTAAATACTAAAGATACCCTGATAGAGCACGTTTGACAGATTTTTTATTTTATAATGTCAGTATTTAAGGTCCCACTTCCAAAAATTATCACAAAATATCCAGCATTCAATAGTGATTATCTAATTCTTGTCATAATAGCATTGGCAAATATTTTAATGATTTAATTGTATTAGGGCTTAAATCTATTTCATCATTTTAATTCTTTCCATAATCTGTTCTTTAGTTAACTAAAATCTATATAATTCAGGGGTATCAAACAGGTAAGATGTCGTCACGTGACATATTGCGACTTTTCCCCCCTTCACTAAAATGGAGGTAGGCGTAGCCAGCCCATGCCGCATCTGGCCTGTGTGTCGCAGGTTTGACACCCCTGATATAATTAATCCAAGATTGAATGCCTAAAACCTTCTATTACCAAGTCAAAATAATGTTTATTGAAAAATGTCTGTCATCTGAAACATTCAAATTATACATTATCTAAAGTTGTCAGATAGTATATATAATGAACATGATTTCAGAAAAATCAATTTTTATATGTGTGTGTGTGTGTGTGTGTTTTCTGAGGTTTTCGCGGGTGTTTGTATGTAGGTCTTTGGTTATTCAGGTTTTCTCCCGCGTAAAATTGGAAGTGTCTTGGCGAAGTTTCAACGAAGTCTCATTCGTTATCTTCAGGCTGGTGTTTTCGGCTTCGTGCTCATGAAGCCGAAAACACCAGCCTGAAGATGACGAATGAGACGATGTTTTAGTCCAGTCCAGATCCAGGTTTACCATTTCATTGAGGATTAGATCTAGATTAAGATCTGTCTTCATCCAAAAAATGAAACATGGTGATGAGTAGTGAAGCTCTATATTTATTGGTGTTATAAATTTGGTTTTTGAGGTACATCCTTGAAAGTATCTCTACGTTGACTGTTTATTAATGGCAAAGAGGTATACGCAACCCAAGACAGAAGAATTCCAGCTCTACAGATTTTTACTTTGGAATATTAGGCAACTGTGTAAAATTTACAACGAAAAGATAAAGCACCCACTTTCTAAACTCAGGTCTTAACATACATACAATTGGTTATTATTAATTCTTAAGTATTTATTATCCAAGAATGTGTTAACTGATTGCACTTTGTTTTTCTCCAGTCAAGTAATTATTATCTTCCAAGCTGTCATTAGATTTGCTAAGTTTGCTATTGGCTATAGATTGTTTTTGTTGTTCTGTGTTTGCTGATTCAATTGGACTTTTTGAAATCTCCTCCTCTAGAGATGTAACCACATTTTCCAAAGATTCAACTAGCTCATCTCTCAGTTCATCTTCAGATTCTTCAAAGTTTCTGTACAAGAACAAACAATAGTGTTATGTTTTTACTAAATTACCAAAATGCTATGTTTACAAATAGGGTAACACTTCTGAGCATTAGAAGTAGCAGTGGTGATATGTACATAACACCTATATAACAGGCTTGGTTGAATGCAGAATCTGAATCAGGATTATGATTTGGGCAGAACTGTCAAAATGATATTTATAGAAAGACATGTTTTTATAGTTCCATTAAATAAACAGTATCACATCTCTATAGCAATCTCCATATTATTGGTATAGTATATATTTGAATCCATTGTAAATAGAAAACTAGAGTGATACAGTGTCATCATGAGGGCCTTTGGTTACACAGATTCACAGCTCCACACAATTCCAGTCAGCTAATAAACTCAACATGGGGCATGCAAGCTCCTTGTTATCTCAGTAGAGTTTATTACATACATGAATTATCTATGTGCAGTGTAATATTTTATAAGCCCATTCATACAATTAACTTCGAATGCTACAATTGTGAATTGATCAGATAACTGCAAAATTTAACTCATCACAACAATTTTGCTCATCTTATAATGACTCATATTGATTCAACCAATTTATGTTATCAGTTAAACTTATGTTAAAACATGAGTTCAGTTGTGTGTGGGCTGATGAACTTCCTCCATTACTTTTTAGAATATGCAGAGCAAACTTGTTTATGATTGGCAATATTTTAATTTATTGTTTTATTTCAATGCATGTATTTGATGTGGTTGTCATTCTCAGCTTTGTATACTTGTACATATATTAAAATATAAACTATTATTAATTTAAAAAGAGTGCTGAAGAAAAAATTATATGAACCAGCTTTTCAAAAGGCCAAGTTACACATCCAGCAGTTGTAATGACTTACGTATCATCATCATCAGATCTTGGATGAAGTTTATTTTCATCTGGGTTAGCAGCCAAATTAATTTCTGGAGCATCTTTAATAGATTCTGGAATCTGGTGATTTATTGTTTCTTCTGAAAGAATAGTATTTTCATTTCATGGTGATTTCATGTACAAAGTTTCATGTACCGTTTCATGAAATGTACCAAGATAGCTTGAAGTAATACCAAAATATATTGTATTAAAAATAAAAGTTCTATAGATGGAGGATGAAGGACTGCTTTCATATTCATAAGTCTATACTAATTTTACATAAATGTATTTCTTACTTGATCTGATTCTTGCATTGCACTAAAGTATTATGTACTTAAATCTGATTTGTTGAATATCCCACAACCGACTAAACAATAAATCATGGCTTATATGATTTACAAGCTACAGTGGCAGGGCTCACACAATAGACTTAAGTCAAAGCCAAACATTAAGTCTTAAATTGACAAGTGAATCCAATTTATGTGTAAGTTGGCAGTTTTATCTTTAATGTTGAATGTAATATTTCCATTGCTGACCTGTCAGGACTGACTGTGCTCAGTCTTAATTAAAACTTGTTTTTTCTAAGCAAAAGGTCTTGTTTTTAACTCTTGGGAAAATATATGGACTCAAAATATTCATATTTGAGTTAATGTTTCAACATCTCTCCAAGCTGTATTTAGTAAGCTATTAGAATTGTTTGTCAACATAATATACACATTAGCTTGTTTTCTGTCACTTACTATCTCCAAAAATTTGTGAAAGTGATTGTATTGTTCTCCCATAAGGCTGCAGAGTGGGTCAGGAATGGGATGATCCATCTGGTCTGGCCAATCAGTGAGTCGAATTGCTTCGGCCACGCCTCCTTGGGCCTCCATTGCTCCCAGTTTATTCGACTCACTGGTTCTGACCAGACCTTTTTTTCTGAGTCTCTCACTCCTGACTATTGAGATCGTGAATATTTCTGTGAGCCTGCTGGCCACTTCAGTTGTGGCTGGAAACGCCGCCGCCACTTCTCCATTGCTGCTGCCGTCTCAACGCTCACCATCGGAGAGACGTTTTGCCTTCAGCAGCATTTCCAGGCGAGCAAGCCATCTCAGCTTCGGCTGGAAGCGCCGACGCCACGTTTTGCGGCCGCCGACGCCTCAGCGCCCATCAGCTGTGAGGTGTGAGCGGCTAAAAGGCAATTTGAAAGCGGAGCAGCGCAATCTCCGCATTCTCCGCCGCCACCCTTTCATCGCTCAGAGGAGAAGCGGGGCTGCTTTTCGGCCCCTTTGGATCGCCGCTGCTCGAGAGGGGATCGTTCTTGCTCTCCCACAGCTGTCACTGCAGCCGCTTTACCAGCATCACCTCCTCACCGTTCCTCGGCTGAGGGGCGAGAGCGGAGGTAGGGAGACCTCCTTTATTACACAGAAAGAGGAATCAACCCTCTCCCATCGCGGCTATCACACTGCTGAGGTTTCAACTGTTCAAAAGGTATTTGGCTTTGTATAAAGGGGCTGGTGGCCATTTTGATTTAACTAGTGGCAGAAATTGGGTACTTCAACTGAAATCTGCCTAGTAACACCTTCCGGTGGCCATTTTGTTTGGCCATAATTACCTCACTGTTTGTGACCATTTTACTGAACTGAAGACAGCTTTCCATTACTTGTCATTGTCAGTTGCAGCGGCCATTTTGACAAGCCAGACTTTCCTCATAGCTGGTGGCCATTTTAATGTTAGTTAAAGAGAACAAGTTTTTACTCTAACTTCAAGCCTCATGTTCTGACATGGGCTTATTTTAATTGTAATTTTATTAATACCTCTCATTGTTTCCATTTTGTACAGGACTTCAACTCTGTATTACATTGTACATTGTCATGGCAGAACAGTCGGCTACCAAAACTGACCTGGGTCGCAAGGCGATGTCCAACTCAGGGTCTGTTAAAAAGCCCCATCAGCGAAGTTCTGATCAGGCAGTCCAGGCCGACAAACCCAGGCCTTCTCTCAGTACTGACCTTGATCAAGACCCTAAAGACTCTGTGGATTTAACTAGGGCCCTGTCTCCGGAGAGGCACTCCACAGCCTCTTCCTGCTCTCCACCAAGACTTAAATAAAATTATTGCAGCCACTCAATTCGCAGCCGATGCCATCCTCAATGCAGCCAAGTTTGCCTCTCGAGCCATGGCATCGTCGGTCACATCGCGCCGCCTCTTGTGGCTGCAACAATGGCCTGCGGACCTTAAAACCAAATGGCGCCTGGCATCTACCCCTTATTCGGGGTCGAAACTTTTTGGGGAGCCCCTTGAGCCTTTACTAGTCGAGGATAGGGACAAGAAGAAGGTGTTGCCTTCTATCACCAGAAGGGCTGATCGCCGGGCAACTCCCTACTACCGTAGACAGCCAGCTCGCAATTTTTCTCAGGAGGGTTCCAGCCACAGGCCATATTATCAAGGATCTGGCCGCCCTCAGGATAGGGGTTCCTTTCGGGACAAACCTAAATTCTTTGGTCTGCCCAAGCGGTCCTTTCGCGGGACTGGCGGACGCCAGTTCCGCCGCCAAAAATGACTCTCCTCAGTCAGCACCCATTGGCGGCAGACTGAGTCTTTTCATAGACAGGTGGGTCTGCAGCACGACCGATCAATGGGTTCTTCACACAATAGAATTTGGCCTCCCGCTAGAGTTCCTCTCCCGCCCCCCGAGTCATTTCGTACCATGCCCGGTCTCCAACTCCTTCCGCAAGCATCGTCTCATGGAGCTTGCCATTCAACACCTACTAGAAATCAGGGCGGTGGAGGATGTTCCCCATGACCAGCGGAATCGGGGGTTCTACTCCATCCTTTTTGTGGTACCGAAACACTCTGGGGGTTGGAGAGCGATTCTGAATCTAAAATCGCTGAACAAACACCTAGTGTACCGGAAATTCAAAATGAGTACACTGAAATCCATTCTAGAAGGCATATGGCCCGGAGACTTCCTAGCCTCCATCAATCTCTCCGAGGCCTATCTACACATTCCCATATTGCCCGCCCACTGGCAGTCAGATTCAGCTACGAGGGGCGTCACCTCCAATACCGTGCCCTTCCCTTTGGACTGGCATTGGCCCCGCGCAGCTTCACCAAAATCCTAGCGGCCCTGGTAGCCTATCTACGATCCGTCCCAGTGAGAATACAGGCCTACCTGGACGATATTTTGGTCCAGGCTCCCACCCTGCAGAAGGCCCAGTCAGACCTGCACCTAACGTTACAGGTACTACGGGATCACAGGTTTCTGGTCAACGTGCCCAAAAGTCAGTTGGAACCCCAGACCCGTCTCACACACCTAGGGGCAGTCATAGATACCAGGGCGGGACAGGTCTTCCTCTCTCCCGAGAGGAAGGACAGCCTCAGACTGCTCATACGACAACTTCTCCGACAACCGACCGTGACCAAACTCGATCTCTCTCGCCTACTGGGGAAACTAGCGTCCTGCATAGACATAGTACCTTGGGCTCGACTACATGCCCGCAGCCTTCAATGGCTATTACTCCCGCACCAATGAACTATGATCGCCGCCTCTTGAGCCAAGCTCAGAGTTCCACTGTCGGTTCGCCGGTCATTGCAATGGTGGCTGTCCCCGGCCCTGGACAAAGGGTGCGTTTTCTTTGACGTCCAACCTCTTCTAATGACAACAGACGCGAGTCTGTCCAGCTGGGGTGCTCATCTGGACACCCAAGTCGCACAGGGCCGATGGTCTCCCACGGAAGCTCGGTCCAGCATCAATCTGCTGGAACTACGGATGATTCGCCTGGCCCTATTGGCCTTCCAACCATCGATCGAAGGTCGCCATCTGCTAGTTCTTACCGACAATGTGATGGCGAAAGCCCACGTAAATCGCCAGGGCGGGACCAAATCCAAAACCCTGATGCAAGAGGCTCTAATCGTGGGGCGGTGGGCGGAGGCCCATCTTCTATCTCTTCGGGCCGATCACATTGCGGGGAAGGACAATCTCCAGGTAGACTTCCTGAGCCGAACAACGGACGCATCAGAGTGGCGTCTTTGTCCCGATCTTTTTTGGGCCATTTGTCTTCGCTTCGGACTTCCTCAGGTAGACCTATTCGCCGCCCCAGAGAACGCTCAGATTCCACGCTACTTGACCTGCTATCCAACTCCGGGAGAGGAGAACACGAATGCGCTCCGCTGCCCCTGGCCTCGGGAACTTCTTTATGCATTTCCCCCTCTGCCACTAATTCCACGGGTGATACGCAAGATCATTGCAGAGGGAGCAGACGTCATCCTCGTCGCCCCTTACTGGCCGAGAAGGCCTTGGTTCTCGGACCTCGTAGCACTGTCATCAGCTCACCATTGGCGGCTCCCTCCAGAGAGAGTGTCCCTCAGCCAGGGGGAAGTCAAACATCTGGAGCCCCAATGGCTCAACCTAACCGTCTGGCTCTTGAGGGGCTCCTCTTGAAGGAGGCACATTACTCGGAGAATGTCATCCATATTATGCAGGCAGACAGAAAGGAGTCCACCATCAGACTCTACAACATAACGTGGAAGGTATTTATTTCTTGGTGCTCGGTGTGCGGAATTAATCCCTTGTCAGCTTCTGTTCCGCAGGTACTGGAGTTCCTCCATGATGGATACCGCAAGGGGCTGGCGCATAACACCCTGAAGCGCCATGTTGCAGCTCTCGCCAGTGTTGCCACCCAGGGACGGCGTAACCTTGTCTCAGCATTCTTCCGTTCGAAGGTTTTTGTGTGGTGTCCGAAACCTTTGCCCTCCCATAGTACACTGATACCCCACATGGGACTTACCGCAAGTATTAACAGCACTTACTGAACCTCCTTTCGAACCTCTCCGAACTTCCAGCCTGAGGTTCCTTACCTTGAAAGTAGCCTTCCTGGTGGCCATAACCTTGGCCCGCCGAATCTCAGAGTTAGCGGCCCTTTCCATCAAACCAGACTTGTGTATTATGCATCCAGATTGAGTAATCCTTTGTTTGGATCTGGCCTTCATACCAAAAATTAACTCTCGATTCCATCGTGAGCAGGAGGTTATCCTTCCAAATTTCTGTCCCAATCCTACCCATCGATTAGAACGCAAATGGCACACGCTCGACGTCCGCAGAGCTATTAAAATCTACGTCTCACGGACCGCCTCGACAAGGCGTTCTGAGGCCTTGTTCGTCTCGTTCCAACCGGCTTCACTGGGATCAAAGGTGTCCTCGACCACCATAGGTCGGTGGATCCGTGCTTGTATTGCCTGTGCCTACGAATCACGATCTCTTCCTCCTCCTAGGCGTATTCACTGCTCATTCCACCCGCAGTGCAGCTACCACCGCTGCTTGGGCCACGTGGGCCTCCCTCGAAGAAATCTGCCGGGCAGCTACCTGGACTACTCCTGTCCCATTTATTAAGCATTACCGTGTGGATGTCTTCGCATCTGCAGAGGCTTCGTTCGGCAGGAGGGTCCTTCAGCAGGTACACCTGGCACCACGGCTCCCTAGATCGCAGGATTCCCACCTGTAGGGCTGACAAGCTTGGCTTTGTCCCACTCCTGACCCACTCTGCAGCCTTATGGGAGAAGAGGCGTTGGACTTACTGTGAACGCTGTTTCTCCGAAGGATGCAGAGTGGGTCTGCCCCTCCCACCTGCGATTGTTTCTTGGTTCCTTTTGTCATGTTGTTGGAGCCTGTCTTGCAGATCTGCATTCGTCAAACAAACTGGGAGCAATGGAGGCCCAAGGAGGCGTGGCCGAAGCAATTCGACTCACTGATTGGCCAGACCAGATGGATCATCCCACTCCTGACCCACTCTGCATCCTTCAGAGAAACGGCGTTCACGGTAAGTCCAACGCCTCTTCATTGGTTACATAAGAATCTGAAATTCCTAACCAGTTTTAATGATTCATCCATTTATTCCTAATATGACTATCTATTTACTTAGAAAGTAGCATCAATAGCTTCCATGGAACTTAATTCCCAGAAACAATGAGATGAAAAATTAAAAGGATGTTATCAATAAAATATCTTTTCTCTAAAAAGTGAATGTTTTAAGTAATTTGATTATACGGCCTAATGATTGGAGGATCACTCTCTTGCCTATATAAAAAAATTCCCATTATGAAGAATTGATCATGCTAATAGAACTGCAAAAATATATTTTAAAAAATCAGGCTGCCTTATGTAAAAACCCAAGTAAATATTGCTGGTTTAAGGTTACATCATCTTTGTAATTAATATAATTGTGTGTACATATATGTATGAAGTGTGGGGAGGTATGTTACTGTGAAACTTTGCAACATTATCATTTATTGCTTACAAGCAGGCAAATTATTTTGATTTCATTTTTCTTAAGGTGACTTTTATATTCTTTGCATGCACATGACATTTAGAAATTACTTTTACAATATTTAGATACATTTGTGTCATATTTTTAATTAATTTAATTCTTCAGGTTTATTCCTCTTATCCTGGTAGAATAACCTCTCTTAGGATGAGGGTTGAGTACGCTGACTTCCCTGTGCACAATTCTCCCCTTTCCTTCTTGGAACATTCCAAATATATTCTACACCAGGGGTGCCAAACACAAGGCTCGCGGGCCAGATCCGACTCGTGATGTCAGATCAGGCCTACAGGGGCTGTCCTGGAAAATGTAAGGGGCCATCCTGCATCATGTTGGCCCGGTCTACCCAAAGCGAAGAGGAAACATTGGGCCAGCGTGGCTTCGGCCTGGTCTACCCAATGCAAAAAGGAAACATGCCAGCAGTTTGGGGAGTGGTGTCAAGCTGGCCGCGCCCACCCAGTTGGTCACACCCAACCAGTCAGCCACGCCCGCCTGGCCCCCCGAAGTCAATCACAGCCCTGATGTGGCCCTCAGTGAAATTGAGTTTGACACCCCTGTACTATACAATCCCCTAGCCGAGGACACTGCAGCAGAAATTGGGGGCGTGAGGAAATGATGGAAGAAGTATCTATTCCACTCTTCCACCTGTACATGGATATCAGCAGATACAAATCTTAGATGCTATTCTAGTTCTACTCAAGTTTCAACCTTTTATGCAGAGATATCCTTAACTTCAAATAATAAAAGATGCAAAAAAATAACTTACTAGGTTCTTCAGCTTGGCATAAGGTGTCACTGGTGCATTCTGCTTCTGCTAACATATTCATTAGAGTACTTGGTAATTTTGGGCTCCATTTTTTCCTGGGATCAGGGAACTCAGAATGTATTTCATTTACCTGTCCATCTGAGGAAAAAATGTTTCATTCCTTATAATGGTAATCCTTGACAGGTAAACCATTTGTTTAGTGACCGTTCAAAGTTACGATGCTGAAAAAATTACTTATGACTGTTTTCACACTTACAATCATTATAACATCTCTGTGGTCACATGATAAAAATTCGGACGCTTAGCAACTGGCATATATTTATGATGGCTGCAGTGTTCCGGTGTCACGTGAGCACAAGCAAAGTCAAAGTGATAGCCAGATTCACTTTACAACCATGTTACTAACATAACAACTGCAGCAATTTATTTAGCAACTGTGAGAAGTAGGGTCATAACATGGGACAGAATTCATTTAACAACTATTTTGCTTAGCAATGGAAATTTTGGGCTCAGTTGTGGTCATAAGTCAAGGACTGCCTGTATGTTGAACAAAAAAATTAATATAGATTTGATCAGGGGTGGTATTCACTTACTTTCGCTACTAGTTCGCAAATGTGAGCGCACACTCGTTTCACTCACGCACGCCACTTCCGCGCATGTGCAGGATGTTCTGCACATGCGCAGAGCATCAAAAACAGACGTGATTACGTCCAGGCGGGTGGGCAGAGCCTCCCACCGCTGCTGCTATCGGTTTGCCCAAACCGGCTGAATACCACCTCTGGATTTGATCCTCTTTGTGATACATTTCCATTTTTCTTCATCCCTCCTTTTTTTCACTCCTATAAATTACTGAATTATCCTCCAACCAAGATTATATGTCCTAGATTTAACGACTGATCACTTAGTTTTGTTATGACAGATTCAAAATTACATATGATGCATCCTTGAACTTATAACTGTCGCAATCCCCCCTTATGGTCACATGATCGCATTTTGGATGCTTGGTGACCAGCATGTATGACCAGGATGAATACTTTAAAGCAAAAGCACTTAAGACCTCACAGTGCTTTACTCTCTGAGCAGTTTACAGAGTCAGCCTATTGCCCCCAACAATCTGGGTCCTCATTTTACCAACCTTGGAAGGATGGAAGGCCAAGTCAACCTTGAGCTGGTGAGACTCAAACTGCTGGCAGTTGGCAGAATTAGCCTGCAATGTGCATTCTAACCACTGCGCCGCCACGGCTCTTATATCTTGAAAACTACTGAAATAATAGTTTAGATCAGAACGGAAAGCTAAGGTCTATCGCACTGCATTTCTGAAGATACAATGAACAAATTTTATTTAAAACAAAGTAAAATATTTCAGAAAGGTCACCTTCATCCATAGTATTCCATACAGATGTGATGTCTCCATTTTCTAAGAGATTCAGTAGTGTCTGTGGAGTTGAGATTTGCCAATGTTTTCTGTCATTTATCACATCTTCATTGTCAACTTCTAAGGAGAAAAATCTTTATTATTTTTTCTGAAAGGATAAAATAATGATGCTAACTATAGCTTATTCCAGTGGTGAAATCCAAAGTTTTTTACTACCGGTTCTGTGGGCATGGCTTGGTAGGCGTGGTGTGGCTTGGTGGGCATGGCTTGGTGGGTGTGGCAGTGGAAAGATACTACAAAATCCCCAGTCCCACCCCACTCCAGGGGAAGGATACTGCAAAATCCCCATTCCCTCACCTCTCCTGGGGGAAGGATATTGCAAAATCTCCATTCCCACCCCACTCTGGGGCCAGCCAGAGATGGTATTTGCCGGTTCTCCGAAGTGCTCATAATTTTTTTTAATTTTTTTTAAAATTTGATTTATATGCCGCCCTTCTCCAAAGACTCAGGGCGGCTTACAATGTGCTCAGCAATAGCCTTCATCCTTTTCCGCTACTGGTTCTCCAGAACCTGTCAGAACCTGCTCGATTTCACTCCTGGTTTATTCATGCCATTATCTACAGATAATCCTTGATTTATAACAGTTCATTTAGTGATCAATCAAAGTTACAATGGCACTAAGTGACTGAAGACCAGTTTTCACATTTATGACCGTTGCAGCATCCCCATGGTCACGTGATCAAAATTCAGACTGTTAGCAACTGACTCATATTTTATAACGGCTGCAGTATCCCGGGGTCATGTGATCACCTTTTGTGACTTTCTGACAAGCAAAGTCCATGGCGAAGTCAGATTTATTTAAGAATTGTATTGCTAACTTAACAATTCCAGTGATTCACAACCACTGTGGCAAGAAAGGTCATAAAATGGAGCAAAACTCACTTAATAAATGCCTCACCTAGCAACATAAATTTTGCACTCAGTTGTGGTCATAAGTCAAGGACTAGCTGTATTTCATCTAGGAGATTTTTTTTTTTAAAAGAAGTCTTATGATAAAATTTTGTTTAAAAGCCATTATTATTATGGACTAAATAATCAGTATTAAATTGTCCTGGGACTAACAAACACTTTTCTCAAAACATTATCAAGATGATCAAATGCAGATTGCAGTTCCTGTATAACCAATATAGATGTAGACATTCTACAATAGGAAAGTGAGTCAGTTCTCAAAAATGTATATTTATTAAGAAACAGAGATTTGATATGGAGAAATGCAACTATTTATAATAAGAACATGATTATTGATTGATAGATTAATCAACTTTCTATGTCTGTCCATCTGTCCAAAAAAAAAAAAAAACCCCAGCAAAAAACTGACTAGCAAGCCTAACAGAAATTACTATTAAAAACACAAACAAAATCTAAATTGCAACCCCTATAGAAATAGCCTACATACACCAAAGCATCAATAAATTATCATCTGAGCTCTAGTGCCTGAGGAAAGAGCCAGGTCTTCATAGCCTTCAAAAAGCCAAGTAAGGTTAGGGTTGTCCATAGCTCTGTGGGGGAGTTGCTCCAAAAGACAGGCATCATGACAGACAAAGCATATTTTCTAAGATCTGTTAGGTGACTTTTTTTTTCCACTAAAGGAACCCAGAACATGGGATTGGAGACCGAAAGCATCAGGTATTGGCAATCCCACAATGCCCCTGGTCCCATGGCATGCAGGGCTTTTAAGGTCACCACCAGGCCAATCACATTCCCAGCAACCTTCCCCCCAAAACTGTCCAATACAGCTGGGTCCAGCAATGGCTTTTTAAGGAACAAATAGACCACAGCCTCCTTCAAGGCCAGAGGAATCACATCCTCCTGCAAAGAGGTATTGGCCACTGCTTGAAACCAGCTACATGTAACTTCTTGGGTAGCTACATATAATTTCCTGGGTAGCTAGGACCTACTAGGAGAGACACGATTCTAACATACAGATGGAAAGATGCAACACCCCAAGGATCCTGTCCTCTTCCTCAGGAAATAGAGTGGGGGGTTATTATTTTTTATCTTTTTAATTTTTTTTTTCTATTTTCTATTTTTTACTGTTTGTAAGCCTCTTAGAGTTGCTATGAGTGAGTAGGAAGCTATATAAATGTTCTAAAATAAATACGGGTACCTACCTACCTACCTACCTACCTACACACACACACACACACACACACACACACATACATACATATGTACATACATACATAAACTAAGCCCAAATAATCAAACAAGACTAGGCCACAGTCATCTACTGAAAACCAACATCGCTGGAGTCTAACTGCGAGTAGATCCCAGTGATTTTATCTGACTGATAACAATGTTAATAATTTCAAGAAGCATACCCATCTTCCAATGCCATAATTCCTCCTCCAGTTTTTTCTTAAGGTTTTCTCCATGTTTAAAAGTCAGTGTTTCATTAAGTTTATCACGCTGCTGAAATCAAACACACACAAAAATCTGTTTTGAAAAAATTAACTTACATTTTTTTGAAGCAGAAGCACTGAAATAACATCAGAACCAGACAAATCAAATTACTAAATATCATCTATTATATGCTTTTCAGTAAGACATTCACTGAAATAGCACATTCCGTATTTTTTGGAGTATAAGACGCATCTTTTTACCCCAAAAAATAGGGTGAAAATCTGGGTGCATCTTATAGTCTGAATGTAGCCCTGCCCAGCCTCTGAAACCTAGGTTTCAGAGGCTGGAAAAAGCCTCTGAAGCCTCCTTTTGAGAGGCTGGAAAAAAGCCTCTGAAACAGAAGTTTCAGAAGCTGAAAAAAAAGCAAGGCACAGAGCTCGCAACCAATGAACCTGTTGCTAAAGTTCACCTCTGAGAACAGTTGATTGGGGGTATTCCCGGGGGGGGGGGGCGATCCACCCCCAATCAGCTTTTTTCTTATTTTCCTCTCCCAAAATTAAGCTGTGTCTTATACTCCGATGCGTCTTATAGTCCAAAAAATACAGTAATCTCTCTTCAATTTTTTATGAGAAAAAATTTCACAGAGAGGATGACATATTTTCTGTCGATCATTTTGAGAATCTCTTTTAGATAGAAATCATAACCTGATTCAAAAGTTTATTATGTGACAATCTGCACATTTTCTGTGTGACAGATACTGTATTTATCCTAATTAATGGAAACATATGATGTAACTAAAAAAGTCTATGTAGTAATACTTTATTTTATTGTATGTTTGTGGAGTTTTTTAGATTCTGTGAGTGTCCTCCAGGAGGTTATAAAACAAATAATAGGGTTGTGCATCAATCTAGACTCCAAAAGGAAAAGATGGTTCATACTGAAAGATGACTAGATGGATATAGATGGACTAATAGATTCCACATAACAATCTGTGCATCTTGCTTCCTTCCCATCCCATCTTTTAATTATAATTTTGAATACTTTTAATTATAATTTTGTATTCTTATTGTTATGGTTTTATTGCTTTCAATGTGGTAAGATAGGCAGAGAGAGAGAGAGAGGAAGGAAAAAGAAAAAAGGAAAAAGAAAGAAAGAAAGAAAGAAGAGAGAGACAGAGATGGAGACGGAGGGAGAAAGGAAGGAAGGAAGGAAGAGAGAAAGGGAAGGAAGGAAGGAAGGAAGAAAGAAAGAAAGAAAGAAAGAAAGAAAGAAAGAAAGAAAGAAAGAAAGAAAGAAAGAAAGAAAGAAAGAAAGAAAAAAGAATGGGAGGGAGGGAGGAAGGAAGGATGGATCACACACAATGTTTGCTCTAGTCAGGGCAGAGCCCTAATAACTACATAGTTATTTTTTTACATTTTGTATGGAAACATAAATCCGTTTTGCTTGCTTTGCCTAAAATTGCTATGGCAAAGATGTTTCAAATGAAAATTAAATACCAGGAGTTCAGTTGGTTACAAAAATCAGTGAAATAAATTTAAGGAAAGAACAAGCCTTTTAGTTAGAAAATCTTGCTAAGATCTAAAGACAGATATTAGTGGCAGGCGATAAACAGAAAGCCATGTTGAAAGGTTATACAAAGCTATACATAAAGAGCAGAACCAGGAGTCAAGCAAAAGTCTGGCCAGAGGGAAATTTCAATAATTATCCCTTGAAACATGACTTTTCCTAAAAATCAGATGCAGCAATAAGAGATTTTGCAGAGGAATATTGATGGTAATATCTTCTCCTATTGGAATATAAAAATTGTTAGGAAGGTTGGAAGATCTGGACCGAGAGAAGAAAATACTGACAGCTGATATAGCTGAGAAGATGTCATTATCAATAAGAAAAATGAATTTAAGCAATTCCATCTTTCAAGATAAAAAAACTCCCACTGTATTTATTTAACTAAATTCACTCAATAAACAATGGGTGGCACAGTGCTTCAGGTTCAGAGGCAAAATGATACTTCAGAATGTACCAGCACTTAACCTAACACATGACTGTAGCTGCGTAAATTAATTCTTGGGATTGCATAGGGATTGCGTAGCTGTGGGAAAAGACAAGATCACTTTAAGAAATTGTAAACAGATACTACTTTTGCACCCTGAAGCATTTTCAAATCTGAAGTCCTGTATAACTCCAATTATCTTTATGTTTTTATTGTGCCAGCTTGTCTGTAGAAATGGTGTCAATTTCACACCTATACACAAGAACAAAGCAATTCAGCATAAAGATAATGGGAGCCTATTTTGATGGCAGCGCTTGTATTATTTTTCAGCTCAGGGTACATTCCATAGTTGTGATATCTAAAGACTTTTTCAAACAATGAGGTAGGAAGTTCCATACTGTATAACCTCAATTTTTTAAAAAAGGGAACACTGTGGAACACTCACCTTGTTTTAACACATAATCTTTATATAGGCAGGGAATCTCCATACACAGATTGATGGTCATTAACAATTTTATCATTAATTGCAAATACAGGTAGGCCTTGACTTACAACAGTTCATTTAGTAACCATTCAAAGTTACAAAACTACTGAAAAATGACTGTTTTTCCCAGTTACAACCTTTGCAGCATCTCCATGATCATGGAGATCATGTGATCAAAATTCAGATGCTTGACAACTGGTTCATATTTATGACCGTTGCTGTGTCCCAAGGTGATCACCTTTTGCGACCTTCTGACAAAGTCAATGGGAAATCCAGATTCACTTAACAACTGGGTTACAAACTTATCAACTGCAGTGATTTGCTCAGCAACTGTGGCAAGAAAAATGAGGCAAAACTCAACTTAAATGTCTCATTTACCAACAGAAATTTTGAACTCAATTGTGGTCCTAAGTCGAGGACTACCTGTGTAACTATGATCCAAAAAGATACCTCATTTTCTTCCTGGAAGTTTTCCTCATCTGCTGCATCATCTGTTAGATCAACCTGAAACTTTACACCTCCCTGAAAAATAAAATGTAAAAATATATAACTGCTGCCATAGAAAATTAATAGCTAAAATGTAAGTTAGTGCAGAGAGAGAGAGAGAAATGATCATTTCTCTTGTGCTATTGAACATAGCAACATAAAAAATGGACAATCATTTTTCTCCCTCTAGGAAGAGGGAAGAAGAAAATTAAGTAAAAAGGACAACGAACAAGGGATTTCTCTCCTTTACTTTGCTGAGATGTCCATTATAGCAAAATGAAAGAAAAAGATCCCTTGTTCTTCATTCTTTTAAGTTTAGATGATATAATACAAAGGTGGTATTATTATTTTATATAGATAAGATATGTATAAATTGAACCTTTGCTTTCTGTTGTATTTCTGGGTTGTTCTCCTGCAATCTCTGCAGTCCAATTTGTTTCAAATTTTGTTCCATGTCCTGGGGAGAGAAGAGAAAACAAAAAGCAAACTGTATATCTATTTGTACTAAAAAGATACAGTATGCAAGTATTAATAGGCAACCAAATCCAATAACAAGACTCATGGCTGGGCAGAAGGGATCTTTTATGAATGCTAAACTTTTCTACAGAATCATTTAAAAATACTTTAGTAGAGGGTGACAGATAGTAGAGGGTGACATAAATCAGGATTTACTACTACAAGAATGGGCAGTGTGATAGATGTGATAACCTAATATTACATGAATGGCACCAGAAGCGTCCCACCCTCAAGGGTTGATATTTTTGAAACTTGTTTCAGGTGATCAGATGTTTAAGGGATAAAACACGTGCCTTCAGCTTTGCAGTGGCTTAATCAATCACAGCAACCCTAAAAACCTGAACTTTTCCCCCCAATATTTTGAAAGGTTTAAACAAGCAGCATGGATCTTACATTTCTACAAGGAGTATGAGATTAATTTTACTCTTTAACCTCCAAACCCCGAAAGTAGGAAAAAAGAATCCAAGATTCTTAGCCTGCCCAATCTTGTGGCATCAGGTCATCTGGCCATGTGCCCAAAGCCCTAAACAGGAGCCAAGGTCACCCCTCCCTCAGAAAGACACAACTCTATCCTAGTAGATTTCTGATTATTTGCTGTAGATGGAAGGGGTTTGTTTTCAACCACCAGTTTTTTAACAATTCTTTCCGAATCTGTTAGCATTCTTAATCTGTGTTAATTTTGATGTAGATTTGTATTTTCAAGTTATCCCAGTATATGCCACATGCAATATTTTTATAATAGCTTGGATGGATGGATGGATGGAGGGATGGATGGAGGGATGGATGGATGGATGGACAGAACATACATACAGACAGAAAAAGCTACAGTATAACTAAAAACTTAAATTTACACTTTTCTATTAAAAAACTTAAACAAATATATACCTGGTGGAAATTACAATAAAATCATTTATTTGTACTTTTATTTTATTCAAACAAAAATAGCGTTCTTCCCATTAATGAAGACACTGACTATAATAAATCAAAAGAAAAGTTTGTACCAAAACCAAAAGTGCTGATACCTGGACTGGTTCATTTCTTTCTTCATAATTAGTATCAGGAACAGACTGGTCCTCACTCTTCCCCTGCTTCACAATATAGGTTTTTTCCTTTAGGTTTTTATTTTCCTTTAAGATAACAGTCATAAACATAACATGTTTTAGGTTCAGCAAATGGATGTTAAGTATAATCATTAAAACTTTCTTTTACATGAAAATACTGCCAATGAAGTTTTACAATGTCATAACAAAAGAAATAAATGATTGCAGAAAACAGCATTAGAATATGGATTTCCACCCAAATAATAATATCCAAATATTATTTCTAAACTTGTGGAGTATTTGCATTAAAGCAATCTACATTTAGGATTATGCACAGTAACTTTACTGTTACTTTACTGAACTTCTAAGGAAGAAATGATAAACAGAAGATGGTTCCGGTGAGGGCAGAGAGGACAACCACAGTGGATGAAGAACCAGTGAATGGACTGACTCTTCAACAATTTCTCTCTGGAGAAGGAGTGGACTTGGATCACCGATAAGTGCTCCAGACACTTGCTTCTCATGAGGAGACCACAAAACAGTGGTCTCCAATGGGTTTAAAGCTCTGGGAGATGAGGTAATACCATTATAGCTCAAGCCGTGGTTTGACACCTACAAAAGGACACAAGATTTGTATATTTCCTTTCTAATCACTTTTGGAAATTGGTTGTTTAACTATTAGGAACTTTTATAATGGCACGTTTTTACTACACTAGGAGAGTGTCTTAAAATCCTTTGAGAAATAACTTTTTTAAAAGGAGGTTTTGTGTATGGGAGGTTATGAAAAAGAGAATTCTTAGAAGTTTACCCATGCAACCCAGAAACAAAGCTTCCATTAATATGATACTGTAAAAAAGTTGAGATCCCTCCCTCCGTATGAATGTAAGATGAAAAATTATTTTGTGTTTCTTTCAAGAATCTCTCAGTCTTTTTCAACTTAAGAAGACAAGTTTTTAATTTATTACGTTAGATTCTTATGATCACAGAAAAACATGTATAACAACTGTATGCCAGTAGCAACTGTTACTAACCATGACACCTGAATCACATAAACACAATGATAAAGCATATAAATGTATAATATCCAAATATGCTAGCACGAGTAATTAAATTACAGCATTTATATGAATGACATCATATACATATTTTGTCATCTGATACCCTTGACCCTTCCTCAGCCATCCATGTAGTACCCATTAGCCCTGCATTTGAAAGAGGCGTTTCACATTATATGTTAGCCTGAATAAATCTTCTTTGGAGCTTTGAAACAGCCACATCTTTTGCAAGGCTTGAACAGTTGCTCCAAGAGCTGTTCCTGACTGTCTCAACATTGGTGTGCATGCACAGCCACTTTTGCTTTGTGCAGTCTCATCAGAGGTGGTGTTGTCTATGCATGCACGTGCATATTCAAAACAGCAGGAACAGCTTTTGAAGCATCTATGCTAGTCTTGCAACTTTTTTAATGCTTTGAAGGAAGATCTGCTCTTTGGGTTAATATGCTTTGCAAATCATCTGATTCCAATGCTTTCCACAGCCCATCAAGTAACCATTTGGTGCAAAGAAATTTACCTTAAGTGCTTTAACACGAATTTCATTTACTTCACTCTGGTACTGTTGGCGAATTTCATGCAGCTGTTTCAGATACTCCTGCATAAAGATTTGAACAAAATGTATCTTTAGAAACAATTCTTAATATGAAAGAAAATATGCATTAAAAACACAATCTTATACAAGTTAATTCCAAACTAAGTCCCACAAAGAATGAGCTTCCCAGAAGTGTAAGAATTGGACTACAGCTTTATGGAGACATGTAGGAAATGAGTATCAGTATTATGGAGGCATACTTGCTTTTTAAATTTTCTACTGTGAGCACACAGTAATCTGGCTTGTACTGACATTTTTAAAATCCCTGTAACATTTCAAATTATAAATAACTGTATAATTTCTGTACAATTTTCTCACTCAACAATGGAACTGTATTTTGTTATGGATTAAGAGAACTTGAATATATATTGTATTTTAATGATTTAAACACGAGGGAACCATTTTTAATTGATTACAGGAGTTATACAGCTGCCCCATCTCATTAAATATTAGCTGGCTCACAACAATCCATATAAACAAAGTTAAAAATAAAAATATCCTCTTCCCCCAAGAACCAAACCAAACAGGCTGTTTCTTTAATCCAATATCCCTTGTAAAGAGAATTTTGGATTTAATTTGAGATGTACCTTTGTAATGCATGTTTAGTCTGATTCAACCTTCCATCTAAGACTAAAAAATACAGACACGATATGGGTATCAAACACTGTTACCCTCTTGCCTGTGGGCTAGATCTTGAGAATTTAAAAGCCTATATGCTGTTTTGTTGCCTAACAAAAATTCTGCTTTACTATAGAGTTTATAATTTTTCTTATGGCGAATGTAACTGCACATTAAAATGTAAAAAGTTATCCTGATCTTCTGTTGTGGCTTCCTCAAATCGCTCTGCAGAGTGTGCTCTTGGAAACAGCAAAAATTCTTATGTTCTTGTGGAATCCCTCCCTTGAAGAGGGTAAATGTAAAAATCTTATAAGGGAAAACATGCAATACCCTCTGGAACAGACATCAGGTGTACTTGCAATGCTTTGCCATGGCATGTCTAAGAATGAGGGGAGGTTTGCAAAGGTTTCTATAATTAGCACATTAATCACAGGTGTAAAACAAGATTTCAATTAGAAAAATGAGAAACTTATCAGTCTGTGAAATGCGCTCCGTGTAAATTCCTCATCATCTCTGCATCTGGGCATTTCCCAGGCCATGCTATGCATCTAGTATTTTTATATTAAAACCCCATGCATTAGTTAAACACAGCATTAGCTTGATACATACAGCTTCTCCCTGAGTTCTAAGGCTGTCGCATGCTACTTAGACAAAGAAGGGATTTTCAAAAGCTTCTTGTATTGAAAGTTCACAAACAGTTGCCAATCAAGTTAAAATAATTTGTCCTGGTCATTGTCAAATAGAAAAATTGCAAAATAAGTGTATTAAAACCCATTGAAGGAGCTGTTTGAACCATACAGTTGGTTAAAACTAAATAATATAAAAATAATTTTGAATACTCCATCCTTAAACAGGCACACTGAAAGAAAAATTAGGAATAGATAGAAGAATCAGAGAATTAAAATTACCTCAGAGGTAATTTAGTCTAATCTCTATCTTACACAGTATTCACTACAGCATCTATGACAGATGACCACCTAGCTTCTATTCTCTTCATAAAATACAGGTAGTCTTCAACTTAACGACAATTACACAGCATTGAAAAAAATGAGTTATGATCATTTTTCATACTTACATCTGTTGCAGTATCCCCCCATGGTCATAAAATCAAAATTCAGACACTTAGCAATTGACTCATATTTATGACAATTGCAGTGCCCCTGGGTCATGTGATCCCCTCTTGCAACCTTCTAAGAAGCAAAGTCAATGAGGATGCCAGATTCACTTAACAACAGTGTCACTAATTTAACAACTGCAGCAATTCACTTAACAACTGTGGCAATAAAGGTTGTAAAATAGGGCAAATTTCACTTAACAAACGTCTCACTTGACAAAAATTTTGGGCTCAGTTGTGGTCATAAGTACTACCTGTAAAGACAATGTGTATATTTTTTATGACAAAGTAATAAGTACGGTACGTAGAGATGTCCATTATTCCAATCAGAGATTCTTCAGTCCACATCAAATGCTCTGGCCAGGCTCTCTTACCTGTTCTTTCATTTCATTTTTTTGAGGAAGAGCATTATTACAGTCTTTGAGTTGTTCTTCCTTCGTTTCTTGATTCTGCAGCTGACAAAACTCTGCAGAAGATGGCCGTAGCCCCTATTGGAATGCAAAATAATTGACTATTGTTAAGAGCAGTGTCAAGAAAAGGCTCTTATTTCATTTTTATGAGTTCATTACACTGAACAGAAAAATCAAAATGCAAATATTAGTTAAACTAGCATTTCATGTTAGTACCAGTAAATAAGAATAGGACTTTCAAAGTTTATTTGCTCCCATCTGTTTTTCTTTGATTATAGAAATTGCTCACCAGTTGCTTCTCTACTTTTAACTTGTTTTGCTGAGCATTAAATCGTCTCTGAAGATACTCGGAAGGCCTGAAAAACATAAAAGTCATGGAAAACTCTAAACAGAAAAGAAAAGGGGCATCATGTCAAAAATTAATAGATGTTTCTATAGTCAAGGAAAAAAAATACAACCTATGAGGTGGAGGAGGAGGTGGTTCTTGTCCTCTCTGCTTATAATACTCTTCCATTCTCTGGCCAATACAGGGATCATCATCTTGGACCAAAGCTCTCTTCTGCAAGCTTGCCAGCTTTACATAATAATGGTCATAATGTCCACACATTCTAATGACCTCTGGCTTCCCACATATTTTAATTGCAGGACCCTAGGCCAGAAAATATCAAATTTATAAAAACAACAAATCCAAAATATTGAATATTGATTAAAGCTGAATTGTTACCTCTTGTGACATTCATTTTATGAAAACAGGTTCATTCTGTGAACGGAAATCAATTTTACATAAAATAGTGTGACCTGACTATTGTTCTGATAAAAAGAAACTGAGCTCTTCAATAAAAATGCTGTTTCCTCCTCAGCAAAAGCAGAATGTAACAACAAGACAAGCAAATTGCTTTTCTGTATCCTATCCTTTGCTAAGCTTTAAGCATTAATCCTTCAGCTAAATATTTGAGCACTGATCCTTTATAACAACGATTGCAGTTGTTTGGCCAGGACCATATCTTCCTTAGGTAAGGACTTCTATTTTGCTGTATTTATCCCCACTTCAATCTCCCCCCCACATCTCTGTTAATTTTGCTACTCTGCACCCCATAACCCTGTTGTCCAGTACTGCCCCAGCTGATTTTTGCCATCTTCTTTCTCCTGCTGCTTGATGAGGTATGCCAAGCCTCACCCTTCGTGAGGCATTGTTGGCCTCACAAGGCCTTCCCAAGCAGTGGGAGAAAAAATACAGTTAAAGTTACTTGGGAGCAGCAGGGAGCACTTGGGGTCAGCAGAGCAGTATGGGGCAGTAGAGAAGTAGGGCAGAGAGGCCAAAAGCAAAGAGATGGTGGGAAGAAAGAAAAATGGAAGGAGTTGAAGCACACCCTGCGGCCAAAAATATGGACAGGCTGACAAGCATCTGAATTGTGATTATGTGACCACCGGAGCATAGCAATGGCTGTAATTTTGAGGACCAATCAAATACTATTCATTCAGTGCTGATGTAATTTTAAACTGTCACTGCCTGAATAGAATAGAACTTGAATAGAATACTTTATTGGCTAAGTGTGATTAGACACACAATGAATTTGTCTCCGGTGCCTACGTACTCAGTGTACACGCAAAACAACAAAGTAATAATAATAACCCTAACCCTAACAAAAGGTAACTTTTACCTTAATCATTGGATCCTGAATCCTTGAAGGAAAATAGCATTCATTTTTATACAATAATTTTCTAGGAAGCATTTCCATCTTGATTTTTGGAGAACGATAATCATGGAGTCTTCGTTTCTGACCTTTAGAAGTTTATATAACAATAAGCTAAACAATGATTGGTTAATTACTTCTACATTTAATAAATACTAAGAAAGGGGCTGACAGACTTGTAGGTTATCTCTATACTTTGCAATTGAAAAAGAGCATCGTTCCCTTGAAAATCAGCAGCATATACTGAGTTGGGAATCACTTGGTTACCACAACATACCCAGGTCTCTTCTAAATAAATGTTTTTCCCTAATATATATAGTAAGGAAGTTAGTCCTGAAATATATAGCATTTCTATTCTATGCTATTCATCAATTTATCAAATTCCATTTATGTTCAATGGTTCAGTATTAAGTTCTAAGGAAGTGTTTAGTTATGCATCACCAATGCACAATATTTATCTGAACCAAATTAATGTTCAGGCCAAACTTCTACAACAACCAGGGATTTGACTATATATAAGATGAAAAGTTCCAAGCTGCCAACATCCAACATAAAAGTTGGTTCAACTGATTTTCATCCTGCCACCCCAACTTTGTAGAGCCATTGTCATCAACTGCTTTCTGGGAAGGATCCCTGAACAGAAACAAAAGGGATACAACCACCATAACAGATACTGTTGGATACACCACCCCAACATTAAAATCAACTTCTCTGTGGAATGAAGAGAGAAAAAACTGCTCAGCGGGATTTATTTACTTCTTTCTCTCCAACCTCACAATTATAACCAACTTATTGCAGTAACAACTGCAGATGGGTACTTGCTTGTTTTTAAATAATATTTATTTACTAAGCATAGACCTGGATTTATTTTAGTACAATTTTTTTTTTTAATTTGATTTATATGCCGCCTTACTCCGGAGACTCAGGGCGGCTTACAATGTGCTCAGCAATAGCCTTCATCCTTTTTGTATATTTATACAAAGTCAGCTTATTGCCCCCACAAACTGGGTCCTCATTTCACCTACCTTAGAAAGGATGGAAGGCTGAGTCAACCTTGAGCCTTGGTGAGATTCGAACCCTGCAGTAATTGCAGGCAGCTGGTCTTAATAAGCTTAATAACAGGGTGCCTTAAACCCCTGTACTACCAAGGCTCTTTTCTTGAAGAAAGAGTCATCCCTGACTAAAGCAATCTCAAATTTCTTCAGTGTCCCTCATCTCTCCTATAAATCAGAAGAACCTATTAATTTTACCTTGCACAATGGAACATATCTTGAAAATATAGCTTTGAAGTTATAATCCATATTTGCTCAATTTCTGCTGCCATATTTTCCTCAATGAAAAAAGGCATGCCGTGGTGACACAGTGGTTAAAATGCAGCATTGCAGGTTAACTGTGCCCACTGCCAGGAGTTTGATCCTGACTGTCTCAAGGTTGACTCAGCCTTCCATCCTTTTAAGGCTGGTGAAATTAAAACCCAGATTGTTAGGGGCAATATGCTGATTCTGTAAACTGCTTAGAAAGGACTGTAAAGCATTATGGAGCCGTATATAAGTCAAAGTACTAGTATTATTGCTATTGTTATTTTACAACATCTTCATTTCTTGAAAGTGGCCATCTCAGAATTAATCTCAGTATAAAACAAGTTTCATACATATGGTCAAGTGTAATGTTCTTATTTTTAATATAAACAATCACTTGCCTGATGATGAAGCTGATGATTTTTTCCTGTGAATAACAGTATGACTAAATTCTGCCTCAATGATCTAGAAAGGAATACAACAGAATGCATTTATTTCTGTGCTACCTCAAGTGTGTTTCAAATAAATGTACCAAAAGTTAATTTATTCTAACGTAATGCAGGGAGAAACAAACAAATCTCCTTAGCATTTTTGTCCTGGGGAAACCTAGCAATACCAACTATTTTTATTTTGTAACTGAATGTAAGTGGAATTTACCCATGTATTTGGGGAAATTATAATACCACCCATCTTGCATACAGTATATAACCCTGGTCAGGTGGCAATCAACAAAAAGAGTTACATAGAAAATAAATCTATAATTGTAAAATATAAAATGAAGTTAAAATAACCATTCAACAATAACCAAGGCCCCATAACAGATTCACATCACAATTACATTCATTTTTTTAAATTATTATTATTATTATTATTATTATTATTATTATTATTATTATTATTATTATTATTATTATTATTAATTTGATTTATATGCCGCCCTTCTCCGGAGACTCAGGGCGGCTTACAGTGCGTTAAGCAATAAATAAATTTTATTTATTTATTTATTTATTTATTTATTTATTTATTTATTTATTTATTTATTTATTTATTTGATTTATATACCGCCCTTCTCCTATTGGACTCAGGGTGGTGCACAGCCAAGGATAAAAAACATACCAATACAAAATTTAAAATCAATTAAACGAATTATACAGCTTTGGCCCACAATTTAAAACAATCCAATTAAAACCCAATTTACACTTAAAAAGCTAAAAAGCTAAAAAGAGCTTAAAAAGAGCTAAAAAAGGGAGGGGGGTTCACGCCAGCCCTGCTTGATGGAAAAGAAAAGTTTTTAGGGCAAGACGAAAGGCCTGGAGAACTAGTATCCTTCGTATCTCCAGGGGCAAATCGTTCCAGAGGGCAAGAGCTGCCACAGAGAAGGCCCTCCCCCTGGGGGGTCACCAGCCGACATTGCCTGGCTGACGGCACCCTGAGGAGTCCCTCTCTGTGGGAGTGTACTGGTCGGTGGGAGGCTATTGGCGGCAGAAGGCGGTCTCGCAAATACCCAGGTCCGATGCCATGGAGCGCTTTAAAGGTGGTAACCAACACCTTGAAGCGCACCCGGAAGACCACTGGAAGCCAATGCAGCTCGCGCAGGAGAGGCATCACATGGGAGCGCCCTCTTGCTCCCATAATCCTCCGCGCGGCCGCATTCTGCACCAGTTGGAGCCTCCGGGTGCTCCTCAAGGGGAGCCCCATGTAGAGGGCATTGCAGTAGTCCAGGCGGGAAGTGACGAGCGCCTGAGTGACTGTGCGTAAGGAGTCCCGATCCAGAAAGGGACGCAACTGGCGAATCAGGCGAACCTGATGAAAATCCCCCCTGGCCACGGCCGTCATATGCTCTTCCAAAGACAGCCGTGTATCCAGGAGGACGCCCAAGTTGCGAGCCCTCTCCATGGGCGCCAATGATTCACATCCTGGCCCAGTGATTGGAGCAAGTATTACTGTTCACAGTCTTCTGGAAAGTCAGCATGCTTGCAGCCCTCCAAATATCAGGAGGAAGCCCGTTTTATAATGAAAAGAGCTCCCCAAAAAAATCCTTCTTCCACAGAAGAACAGATAAAGAACAACACCAACAACAGATAAAGATGTTTTGAGTGGACCAAGCAATTTTGTTTTTCTAAGCCACAAGAAATACTCACCTCAGGTGGCAAATAATTCTTTATCTGCTTCTCCAAAAAGGCTTTTTTTAAAATAGAGTTAATAGAAGGGCGATCTCTTGGAGATGTTCTAAACAACTGGGATATTAACAATCTCAGATCAGAAGAATACTTCACAGACACAGGAATGAAATGGCCTCTGCAGATCTTCATTATAAGTTGGGGCAAATTGTTGCCTTCAAACTATCGCATGAAAATAAAGTCAATATATTAAATCGAAACTTGATTTAAACAGAAATACACAAAAGTACTTACATAAAATAAAGGACAAATGAGGTCAGAATAGTCTTAGTCTTTTTTTTAATAGCACTGTCCAATTTATCGGGTCATTTCAGATCTACCATTTCTCACTTACGATACCTTCTGTTTCACTTATTTATGATCTACTATCCAGCTTATCAAAAAGAACTATTGTAACAGCAGTCAAAGTATGATCTACTCTACTTTATACCCCAAAAGTCCACTATTAAAACACATCTAAAATATTGAGCCCATGTGATTATTTCACAAATGGTTGTCACTGAAAAGGATTTACACATTCCTATTTATTTAGCCTATGTCATATCATATATGGACTAGCAATACACTTAGTTTAATAAAACACAATAAATATAAATGTCAAAAAAGTCTATGTTCAAATATCAATGTCCAGGCCATCTACCATTGAAGCGCAGCATCATTTATATAAAACAAAATCAGATACTGGACCGGTATATGCCCTCATCTTACAGTCAGTCACGATGTGATCGCAGTCACACTAAGTGGGGGAGGATACTATGCCCCATTTATACAGGGAGTCCCAGCAGTCGCCATGTGAGGTGTGAATCCTATTCAAGATTATCCATTGTTGACATAATAGTTTAAAGCCTAGCACCTTTTGTGTGGGGTAATTTATATGTCTACCTAAGTCTGGGCCCTCAGCAGCCTATTTGGCTTTCCATAGAGAATCAATGTGACAGTTGTTGGGCAAATGTGCAAGTGCTATTGGGGGTTTCCTGGATTTGAGTCTTCCGGCTGATAATTGATAAAGGTCAGCATGCAGTAAGTAGCCAGTAGGAGTATTACTCCTTGGTAGCAATAATAAAACAATAATTTACCCAAAGGCAAGCCAATAAGAATCTTCCATGCTATCTCTTTTAACTTTCCAAGATGCTCCCTATTGTCTCCAATCTATCTTGCCCTATCAAAATCTTGCTATTTTCTTTTCAATGATGAGGATATTTTTATTCTGCCTTTTTTATATATATATCACGTCAGCTTCCCAATTAATTATACTTATTTTTTTAAAAATTGAAAAAGTTAAGGGGTAGGTGTTTGGCTAACACACAAACTGTCCCCAGAGTTTCTTGTCTCTTATTTTTTATACTGCTCATTTGGCAGCCTCTGTTTATTGTTTCAATTGCCTCAAATTCATGCTGAACACTGATAAAATATTATTACCTTGAGAGTCTAAATATTCCAGGATTTCATTTGTGCCATCAAAACAGAATTTCAACAACATCTGAGTTTTCAAAACCTCTTAATTTTCTGATTTTACTGGGAATTAAGGGCAGAGTCATTCATATGACTTCACAGAGAATCACTTAAATTAATTTTTGCTCTAGAGGTGAACTGTAGGCCAACATCAGCCCCAGCAACAAAATCTGACCAGATAATGTTCCTTCTCCATTATAGTTTTTCTTTAAGCTTTCTTAATTAATTCTCTATCCTTAACTCAGAAGAATTTGGCTATATTGAAAGACTAACACTATCCAAACAAATGGTGCTGGAGAAGACTCCTGCGAGTCCCTTGGACTGCAAGGTGATCAAACCGGTCAGTCCTAGAGGAGATCAACCCTGACTGCTCTTTAGAAGGCCAGATCCTGAAGATGAAACTCAAATTTTTGGCTACCTAATGAGAAGGAAGGACTCACTGGAGGAGCCTAATGCTGGGAAAGATTGAGAGCAAAAGAAGAATGGGACAGCAGAGAATGAGATGGCTGAATGGAGTCACTGAAGCAGTAGGCGTGAGCTTAAATGGACTCCAGAGGATGGTAGGGGACAGGAAGGCCTGGAGGAACGTTGTCCATGGGGTCACGATGGGTCGGACACGACTTCGCAACTAACAACAACAATACCCAAACAAGTCAACATAAAAATGAGTAAGAATATGCCCAGCTTTTTAAACAATGTTTGAAATTACCAGTGGTAAAATGACAGCTAACATTAAAATAGTCAGAACTGAAAACTAGGAACAGAATATGTACCAAATGCAAGTTGGAGTAATTTTTTAAAAAAATTATGAAGAATACTCAAATTTATGTTGTACTTTTCATTTTACCAATGAAATCATAAGACTATACAAGCCATTCTTGATCAGCCCAAAGACCATCTAACTCCACTATTTTATTCGTACAGAGCTGACAAAGTGCTAAAAGAAACCCAGAGCAAGATAAAAATACCACAACACAGTTTTGTTCCTAACATTTTATATCAAGATGCATATTCTTTCAATAAAACATATGTAGTCAGTATGTCTAATAGAAATTGTTGGCTTTATCAATTGTGAATTTGTCCATTTCTCTTCTGAAATTTAGACATTTAAAGAAACATTTTTAATGGAGTATTCCTTTCCATCTGAAAAGGAAAACTCAAGATGATTTTAGTACTGTAGAACTGATATCTTTCTTCACTGTTCAAAATGTTAAAAGCTATATTTAATTTATGATTCTAATAGCTGTCAATAAATGATATTGATAAATATTTGGTTATGGCAGTATAAACATTTACTTACAGGATGCTTTAAAGTACACAACTCATATAACACACAGCCAAGAGACCATATATCTCTATAAGAAGAAAGTAAGAAATTAGAGGAACTAAAACAATATTTAGTAATCCAGCAAAAAACATATATCCCAACTATATGGTTATGCAAAGGTTAATTCTTAGTGTTCTGTTTAGTATTGTTTATACTATTTATTATTTTAACACATTATTATAGATCATCCTTGTTTAACAAACAGTTACTCTGATTTTGTAGTTCTGACGATTGCATTACCCCATGATCATGTGATCGCATTTTGGGTGTTTGTCAACTGGCTCACATTTATGGCCTTTTGCCGCATCCACAGTCATGTGACCACAACTTTCAGCAGTTTTTGCCAGTATCCAGTATTTACTTCCAATTTCTGGTCCATCGAGTATAATGGATTCATTTAACAACTGCCACAGAAAAGGTGGTGAAATCTGCTTAATGACCACCATGACTTACAACCAAAATTTTGGCCTCAATAATGGGCATAAGTCAGACTATCTGTTTTTGGTTATGAAAAAGTGGTAACTTCTTCAAAAGGTATAATTAAGCCAGTTATGGCTGCAAACACAATATTATTAAAGCAGCTATTAAAGCCAAATAGGACATTTTAGAACTGCATAAAATTAATGTGGGCTTCACCAGAAAGCTGATATTTTAAGAGTAGATTCTATAGAGAACTTTTCAAAAGTCTGAAGGCAAAGACAGCTTGCAATGCTATTGCTTATATTTATTGCTATTTTTCAATTCAAGAAGACCTTCAAGAACATAGAGGTATGTTCTGAAACTTACGTTTTATTATTATATGGCTTATTCTCACAGATTTCAGGTGATAGGTAATATGGCGTTCCTACACATGTACTAGCAAATTCCATCGTGCTAAAGAAAATAGCAAACAAAAAAAGTATTTTTTTTCTTTGAAAATAATGTAATTACTGAAGCTATCTAGAGAAATTACAAAAATGTCCATTATTTAGAATGCCCTATATGTTAGTCCATGATTATCTGAGATAGTAAGGTCTAATTTACAAATATCAATTTTTTTTAAAAAAAACAAACCAGATTCAAACCATGATTTCAAATTCTGGTTTAGAGCATATTAAAGAGTTTCCCAGTTTCAAATGTACAGGAATGGGAAAACCACTTTTGGAAAATGCACTGTTTCTACTTTCTTTTCTCATGTACAAAGGGAGCAGAAGGAACTCATAGATGAAATCCCAAGTTTTACTGCACTTCTTTTCAATAAAGCTAAGACATTTTGCAAAGTTAAAGTCTGACCAATTCTATGCCCTGTTCACTGGAATTTTAAAGCAAAATAAACTCATCTATTTTTGACTTAATACTAAGGGAATAACATTGTCCATAAAAATATGCTTACTTGTTCAGCATCCTTGCAATCCCAAAATCTCCCAGTTTTGCTGTTATTCCATTTCTGCTAAGAAAAATGTTCTGTGAACAAAATATACCATAATTAAAACTGGATGTGTGTTTTATGTTTCAATGATGAGGCTAAAATTATCTCCCAAAATTACCTGTGTTTTTATGTCTCTGTGCAGAATCTTCCTGTCATGTATATGTTTCAGGCCTAAGGCAATTTGCACAAACCAACCCAAGATCTAAATATAAAGATAAAATATCAATATTTCATACAACACAGTTATTAAAATTTCTTCAAGAATACAGTCTCGGGGATGAAAAAACAGTTCATTATTTTAAATATATACATTCAGAAGTATGACAAAATAGGTCACAGAGTTGTTCAGATCTCGAAGTTAGAATATATTCTCTCTGTGTGTGTGTATATGTAGAGAAAGAGAGTGTGTTTTTATTGTTGAGAACTTTTGAGATTGCTAAACTTGCATACATCAAAAGATTTTAAGCAACCTCTCACTCAGTGGTATTGTTTTGTTTTTCCAAGCTGGCCATTTTGAAGTTTGTTCCTAGAGACTAAAATGCTGCTATATTAGTTTGTCCTAGCTTTGAGTCTTGCCTTAAATCCATTAATTCTTTTGTACAAAACATGATATTATACATCACATTAGAGATAGCACATGTGAAGACACTTCTAATCTTGATACCGCCACATGTTCTTCCTGTAAAATGATCTTGGCTAATCAGAATTGGTTTCAGATGGAGCTGGTAATCCTAGTGGAGAGCATCTGGTTGGGCAAGGCTGCCTTACCCTTTCATCAGCATTATTTTATTACAAATGAAACACGTTTGAAGTATGCAACCTTGGAGCTGACCTTAGAAATACCCAGCATTGCCCAAGGTTTTTATCTACTGTATTTGTATAATCATCTTCTATTAATTGTGAATCTGTCCTAAATTTTGGTTTATTTTCCTTTCAGGTAAATACTTTATGTGGAATTCTATCTTATTAAAGCATTATTACATGGTAACAATAAATAAATAAAACACAATATAAGCCAGGATCTCCACTTTGAATACTTTGGTGTGATGAACAGTGAAGGGAATATAAGTAAAGTGAAAATATTCCTCAAATTACAAACTTACCTTATCCTCATCAAACAGCACTCCATATTGCATATTTATTCTCTTCATTAGGTCACCTCCATCGCAATATTCCATCATAATATACAAGTTATTTTTCTCTAAAAACATAATAACTTAGGTTTTGAGTCATTTAAAAAAAGAATACAATATAAAACAAAGGGAGAATCCTGCTGGATTAGATCAAAAGTCCACCTTGTCTAGTATTTTGTGTCCCATCCTGGATGATGATGCAACTGAAAAGCTCACAGGGAGGATATGAAGGAAAAGCCTGCTGCTAATACTAACAGCATATTTTGCATTTGAGGCATGCAACTTTGATTCTGTAATATACATGCTCACACGCATATATTTTCAGAGCTATAGCTGTTTAGTATTTCCCCAAGGTTTCAAATATATTGATCTAAAAGAAACTCAGATCCTAACTATTAAGTGAGAGATCCGGAGAGGACTTTGGACTGTTACTTAGTCAACAGAACTGCTTCTTGACCTCCAGCTAAATTGGCTAAATGCCTCTTCCCCAAAGTTAAAAGTGACATCTGCTAATATTCTGTATTTAATGTAATAAGGAGCACTTTAATGTTTCCTTTTGCAGGTAGATACCATACTCATCTGCTCAACACTGTTCATGTAAACATACATGGCATTAGGTAACTAGAAGCAAAATAACGTATTACTCTACCCCACTGAACTCATATGACTCTTTATTGGCTTATAGATTATAAAAATAATAGTTAAATAGTTCACCAAGGTGAGCTGAAATCCAACCAAGCAATCTTAACAATGATCATGAATATCACATCAGTCCCCACAGGAAAAAAAAAGGAAATTCATACATACATATATAAACTCAAATAAACAATCTCCAAAACCTGTTTTTTAAAGTTTTGGGCAGAAAGTACTTGTGTGCCTTTCAAAAGATGAAATTTTAGAAGGAGCTATTTATTGTTGCTCTATTCTAAGAGTTAGCCAAAATACAGGTCCTTGACTTATGACCACAACTGAGCCCAAAATTTCTGTTGCTAAGTGAGATATTTGTGAATTTTGCCCCATTTTACAACTTTTCTTGCCACATTTGTTAAGAGAATCATGGCAGTTACTAAGTTAGGAACATGGTTGTTAAATGAATCTGGCTTCCCCATTGACTTTGCTTGTCAGATGGTCACAAAAGGTGACCCCATCATAAATTGCAACTGTCATAAGTGAGAGTTGCTAAGAGTTTGAATTTTGATCACATGATCATGGGAAAAACTGTCATAAGACATTTTAGTGCCCTTGTAACTTAGAATGGTCACTAAATGAACTGTTGTAAATCGAGGACTACCTGTAACTATAGATCAAAATGATACCTTGAAGAGAAGTGTAGAAAGCTACAATATTGGGATGCTTCATCTTGGCTAAAAGAGTTGCTTCTTTTTGAGATGATTCTTTTTCCTTCCTTGGCATCTTTATTTATTTAAAAAGAATGCAACACAAGTTGTTATTATTTATGTGACTTTACAGGAATACCACAAAGATATTTAAAGAATTCTGAACACTGCTTAATGTAATATTCCCTCTGAACAAATCTTATATTTCCAGTAAAGGTTCTTGTTGCTTGGGAATTAATGTGAACTGATTTTTTATATTAACATAATTTCACAATTAAAAGTTACTAAAAAGTTACTATAACACATTTCATCACTTTCTTTCAACATCCTTTAAGAAATGGACTACTTCCTTAAAGGGCTACATATAATATTTTAAGAACTGTAAATTGTCATGGAACCTCAGAAACAGCAATAGCATTTGGACTAAATAACACATTTGAATTCATTATCACAAGCACTCACAGATAAAACAAACTTACTTTCAGTCCTGCAAAGACATTAAAAATACTTCTTCAGAACTTAACCGTAATCCTATGTCAAACATTCAAATAAATTCTAAGCTGTCTAAAATATTGCTAATGGTACTGTTGCTGCTATTAGACAGATCTTTCTATCCGATAGCCATCTTCACCTTGGACCAAACATTAACATGCTACATAAAACTATTATAAAAGATATTACCTTAGTTAAATTGATCTCCTTGATAACACACTGTTGATTATCCTCTTTTTTTCTGGCTAAGAATATTTTGCCAAATGCTCCTTCTCCAATCATTTTAATTATTACATAATTATCCATGATTCTGAGTTTTGGAGAAACATCAAAAATAAAAAGAATGTAGTACTTAATATTTAAACACCAAACTTTTCTTCAAATTGTAACCTTTAATTTTTCATTGTAATTTTTTTCTTTTTTAAATTTTAATAGTATCCATTTTTCTTGGTCAGATACTCACAATTGAAAGAGCAGTATCCCTATCCTTTTAAGTGAAGCAGTCACAAAACAGGGAAAATTATAATCATTTCAGATGAATTATGAAATGTGCATGAAATAACACATGAAATAAGAACATCATGGCTTCAAAACCTAAGGGACTGGTTTGGACAAAACTCAGCAGCACTTTTTCATATGGCTGTTGATAAAAATAGGATTGCCAACATGATTGCCAACGTCCGATGACGGACATGGTACAAGAAGCAGCAGCAGCATGAAATAACAGAATTCTTGGATTTGGAGGATGAAAGTGTGTTATACGTGAAAATCACTCTGTTTGTAGCCTATGGCTTATTCTAAGTCAGTCTTTCCCAATCTTGTATCCTAGAGATGTTCTTCTAGAGGAGGAGGAGGAGATGATGATGGAAGAATTAATCTGATGGCACCAGGTTGGAAAAGGCAGCTGTCTGACCTGGTGCCATCAAATTAATTAATCTGCTGGCAGATTAATTAATCTGCTAATTAATCTGATGGGATCAGGTTGGAAAAGGCAGCTGTCTGACCTACTAAACAGATCCCTGGTTAGATCCAAATGGATCCAGATAGAAGACAGTTTAGGATCCGCATGCAAGTCCCATGACAGAAGAAAAGCTACAGGCAAACATACTGTATAACAGATCATAACAAGACCTTTGACTGATTATTTAAATTGTTCCTGATTCCTTTCCAAGCAGAGTCAGAATATCTCTAGAAGTGGGTCCCTTGATCTATTTTCCCTCGAAGTGAGGATCCTAGCAATCCGCCCATCAATGCAGGTGTGAATTCGAGGTGAGTGGCGGTTCTAGCAGACTGATAAAATACTAATCAATTCTCTTGAGGCGCCTTACAAACGGATGCAGGCTACACAACTTTCCACACACTTTACTCAGGAGTAAGCCCCAGTTATCTGTTGAGGTTTGCTTCTGAGCAAACCTACGTCAGTTTGTGCTGACAACCCCATTAAGAGCGAAGCTCAAGGGATCCTTTTTCCCCCGCGGGGAGGCGGGGAATTTCTCAGCATTTCCGCTTCTCCGTTGCCAAGGAAACAGAACCGACGCGCGCGCAGATTCCCTGCCTGCTCGCGCTCCGCAGTTCTTATTTTCTCCGTCATTCACCCGCCGGCGGGGTACTTTCCTGCGCCCTTGAGAAACGGGGAAAAGGAAGAATCCTCCAGAACCAAAAATATCACTTATACCGCCTAAATTACCTTAAGTTCCACAGACGGTGGAAGCAGCAGCTTCTTCAGCGCCCGCGGAGGCGTGTTTTCTTTACACCCCGCCCTATTGTCCGGGTCATGGATCGGTTTCTGCAGCCTTCCGCAATCTGACGCCTTTCAGTGTGTTAAAACTACAGCTCCCATCATCCCTCTAAATTTAGCATGGTTCTATTATATATATATAGCAATCGAAAAGAACTACCAGTAGTATCAGGCTGAAGGATACGTTTGTAAAAAATAGTATCTCTAGTTTGCCTCGTGCTGATCTCCCCCCCATTTCCAATTACTTCATAATTTCGTAATAACCACACAGAACAAGAATTTTAAAATGCACAGGGTAGATTGTTGCTTTAGCCAAGCTACAAGGTGAATATCTACTAAAAATTCGATTGGTTCAGTATGAATTTATTCCCAGATAACTGAAGGTCTCATTTCAAACTCTGTGTGAACTTCAGCTGGCAGAATTCTAGTCGATGCTCTGCTTGCCAAGCACCTTCACATCTGGAAGTCATCAAAGCTGGGAGACACTTAAAAAATTTCATCAGAATGTATTTCTTTTAACATCTCAGTAGGTATCCTCGGGGTGGGAACCTCTTGAAGCAAAACATTTTTCAAAAGCTGTAATATTTATTGAAGTTTTACTAGTTTAGAATTTCAATTAATATAAAAAGAATATAATCCCTAAAGTATAATATCCTGTATAAAAAAATATGTATTTTTGTTAAATATTTAATTTGATACATGAAAGCACCCCGCCCCCCAAAAAGAGATTTTTAGCTGTGTCCTTTTCATTGACATCTATTTAGCAGATAACAACCAGTACACTTCAGTCCAAAATTTCAATAAACATATGTACTTTCATATGCAAGATAATGGAGATTCAGATTTTGGGGTCACCTGTAAAATCATTTATACTGAATCTTTTATGTGTCGCATGCTTGAGCCGCTCAGAAATTTCTTTCAATTAGCTGGCATGAAGGGATAACTAGATTCCTTGGCAAAAATCCTGATAGGACACCACTGTAATGGCAGGGTTGTTTGGTGATTATGCTGCTAACATCTATCCTGCTGAGGACCAACTGGCCAAGTCCTTGGGTTTCCTGTTTAGGATAAATATTGCTCTCCAAGCACCAATTCCCTAACTGCATTCAATGAATTAAGTTTATATAACTGATGAATAAGAAGCAGAAATAGATGAAAGACATGGCTCCTGAAATCATAGTAATGAAAGACAAGATTCAAGAAGATATCATTTTGGAAATGAGGAAGAATTGAAATGAGCAGGTTTATTAACAATTGCAAAACATATCTTGCTCTCTATATCTCAGATTGTGCTAATTCTAGTCTGCCCTCTAATATGGTACACTTCTGATTTTGACATATTTCCAATTTTGACAGAATATTTCTATACTGAGTAAAGAATTCTGTGTAAAAAATGCTCATTTTAATATCTTTAAGAAGAACGTAATTGCTATACCTTTTTTACAACAAAAATAACCCAAATTAAATTTGCTTTCTCAAAGAAATATATCTGAAATCATGTGTCAATTAGTTTGTTGCTCCTAGTTTCTGAAATGGTTCAGCAATGTTTTTACACTGATACTGGATTATCTATTTGTACTTCTTTCTTCAGTTCCATTGGTTTGATCATCTTTTGCAATTCAGAAATCCAGTCTGGATCATCTTCTGCTTCAAAATCCCTATGAAAATATAAAGAACAATTAAGAGAGGAAAGGGAGATTATCATTTAAACAAATCCATAACTACTAAATACACATATTTTCTGATTAGAAACCCTCAGGATTTCTAGGCGGTATCTTTACTATTAAAATTATTCTATAAATTCTAAAATTCTTCTGTACAATCTATTCTGTTATCCATTACAGTCAAAATGCATATATAGTATGTGCTTGAAAAACAGAGATTATTTTTCTCTGGGGAAAGTTTTGAATGTCTAAAACAAATATTTATATATTTATGTTCTGTTTAATTTTGCCTATCTGCTTTTTTGAGAACTTTCATTGGTCACACATAAGCTTTATGATTAGAAATAATCTTCAATATTTCTTTTGTAGACAAAGACTACAAGGTATAAATTAGATACTTTTCTGTGCTAGTGGGCTCCTTAAAAATATAGAACAGTAAATTTGTAACAACCACTATGTTCTTACATAAAAGGCAGACTGAGTTCAAATGTCATGCTCCGGTGAGAGCATAATACACGGTATGACAGATCACTCATGAAGACTTCCAATTTTTCATGTTTTAAGAGAGACTATAATTCCATGAGATTATAATGAAATTCATATATCATAAGATTCAGAATTTGTTCCACATATTACTTGTTATAGTATACCTGCTCCTAAACCAAATTAGGAATGTATCACATTGAGGGACAAGACTTCTGCTGATCGAAACGGAATTGGGGGGCAAAAGGGGGAGAGATAGAATTGGGGGGGATCTGATCTAAAAATAAAACTCTGGGATTTTTCAACCCATAGTTGAAAAATGGCATGAAGTTACAATTGGATTTTTTATGAGACATGTTTACATTGAAGTAGAATAGAAAAGAATTCCAACAATTTGTTTTTCAAACTGTATTTCAACATACGTGTCCTCTTCATCTGATCTAGGTTCAAGTCTCTCTGCATCCTCCATAAAAGTTTCACCATCTGGTTCATCAGATGCGTTGTTCTCTCCTGTAAGTGGTCCTCTCAGTAGGTCATCTGAGGCTTTGATATTTAAAAATCAGTGCAAATATTCAATGGTTACTTCTATTCCGATATTTTAAAAATCAGTAAGAAAATCAATAAATCTGTGTCTTGTTCCTTATTTTTTTCACATAGCACTTAAGCACAACCTGCAAATTCCCACTGTCTCCTCATCCACCACCAATTTGATTCTCTATTCTCATCAGGAGAAATCAATGACCTCATTAAAAGAAACAACCAAACAAGCACTCTATAGCTAAGGTAACCTTCTCCCACCCACTCTTTACATCTCCCATCCAGAGCATCTATAATCCCCATTGCCTGCAAACCGGTGGTGGTATTCAGCCGGTTCTATCTATCTAGTTTGAATCGGTAGCGGTGGCTGCGGGAGGCTCTGCCCACCTGCCCGGATGTAATCATGTCCCATTTACAGAGGTGAAATGCTCCCAGCTCAGACTGGATCGCCCGATCCGGTAGCGATGGTGGCGGGTGGTTCGGAGAACCGATAGCAAAAATCCCTACCCGCCCACGCCCAGCTGAGCTGCGCGATCATCAGAGGCTTTTTTTTTACTTTTAAAAGCATTTTTTCTACAACCTCTTGTAAAACAAATGCTTTTAAAAGGTAAAAAAAAGCCTCTGACAATCACAGCTGAGGAGCGCGACGCTTTTTTTAAAAAAGCAATGCTTTTAAAAGTAAAAAAAAAAGATTGTGTGCCACAGCTGATCACCCCACGCGCTGTTCTACTTACTGCATGCCTTCTTTTGGCGTGCACTGCGTGCGCGCACCTCACATTTGGTGCGTGGTGCGTACTGTGCATGCGCAGCCAGCGAACCGGTAGTAAACTGGTTCAGATTTCACATCCCATTTATCCACATTTTTGACACTCTGCGCATGCACACTCACATTTGCGAACCGGTAGCGAAGGTAAGTGAATACCACCCCTTCTGCAAACCATACTAAAGCCACCAGCTAACTCTAGCTCCCACTGAGACTCAGCACCAAGGTTTGATCACATCTTATCCTAAAAACCTCAGAAGGTAGTAAGAGCAAGTAGACCAGTTCATTCTGAAACAGCAGGGAAAAGATTGATCATCGTTGCTGCAGCCAAGAGAGTGGCCTTCTGCAGCTCTGCTATAATTGACAAACTACCTAACAGCGAATCTCTGGGCATTCAGGAATAGCTGATAGGTGGCTCTCCTACTGCTCCACTGTGGCCACATTCACTGTTTCCACCACTTTTGCTGCTTTTCCACCACTATAACCTCTATTTGCCATTTTGGAGAATAGCATCCACTGCAGTTGTAAGACCAGTTACTAATTCAGCTGAAATTTCAAAAGATGGTTTCACCTTCCCACTGAAAGTGCCATTGAGAATTCAAAGCCAGAACCCGCAGCAGCTATCCTGGTTCACTGAAGCTTCAGAAACTCTAATTTCCTTTTTTTTAAGACCTTCCCAATCTCCAAACCATGAACATCATATACTAAAAGCACCTATCCATGATCCCATTCTAAGAACTTTGAAGTGACCTTCTCACTATGATGAAAAAAAAAGATTTACCTGCTTTGTAGATAGTGTATGTCTTAAAAGCTAAGTTAACATCAGCATTGTGAAGAATATTCATCAAAGTCTGTGAAGGTTCCTTATTCCACTGTTTACGTTTGACATTTTCATCATATTTTCTCACACAGCCACCTAATTAAAGGAACAGAAATACAATGTTACTAGAGAAATTATCCTTTTTTCTATGTCAAACTATAGAACTTAAAATAAACACCTTACACTATTGCCAGAAACCTTCCAAAAAGAATGTTGTAACACTACATACCATAAATAAATTTAAGACCACAAAAAATGAAACTCTTTTTTTTTAACCAGTACTTCCCATTTTGGTGGTGGACAAGCAGAACTACATTCAATTTATTTAGCTATTATATGTTTAATGAACCCATGCCAAGGTATAGCTTTGTAGCATGCTTATTTTTTGAAAAACGTACAGTGTAACTGACCCATTACGGGCACACTTAATTCACTATCCTAAATTCATTGTTCTAAATCATATGCTTTAGCATCTTTAAAATTAAGTACGTATCAGTATATCACACAGAAAGATTTTGAGCAGAGAAAATCTGAGGACTGTATATGTCACTCCAATCTGACCCCTCCTCCAAAAAACCCAAAATGAAATAAATCAACGTATGATGCAGCTCTGTGGCATAGATGTTGAAACTGCAGTTATAAATGTACAACTACTGTGTGTAATGATGTTTTCTTACTATTTGCTTTCAATCACAAATGTTTGAAAAGCGTTAATGGGCTCTTGGATAATGTACGTTGTTCAAGCAGACTCCCCTTTTAATGCTTAGTGTTGAACCGCCAAGAGACTACTTATGGTCTGTGGTGATATAGTCAATCTAAATAATCATTAAGATCTTGCTTGTAACACATCTCTCAGTGAAGCCCAATTCAAGATTTTTACACACAGAGAATGACCTGGGTCTCCCCTATCTACTATCCACAGTATATATCACCAAAAAGGGATAGCAACCATCAACCTCAGTTTAGAATGAACCCAATCTTTCTGAAGTCTTTGGGAATTACCATCTCTACCCTACTCTTAGTTTCTGCCCTCCCAAAAAGATGCCAAAAGCAGCAGAGAAGTTGGAAAGAAATGACATTAAAGCAAGCAAATCATAAACCCACCTAGATTTGGGAAGACAGCATCAATTTAAAACTGACATGGTTTTCTGGAGTCAATTTCTAGTACCATTCCCACCACTCTGATGTCTGGCATCATTCTCCCAGATCGGGGCAAAAACTGTTTCCAGATAAATTAATAAAACATTCTGGACAACCTAAATGCAGAATTATCTAATTAATCAAACAGAACTCTTTTCTCCCTCTGGTTTCCCCTCACACCCTTAAAACATATCCTTTTGTCCCAGCTTTTTTAATAATTTGTAGATTTAGGATTTTTTACCCAAATTGGTTTGTAGAACCAATTTCTCTTTCCACATGCTGCACACTGACATAAAAAATATACACGCCAAAAATGGCAATTCCAGTAGAGCAAGTATCTCTAATGGCATATAATATAAAATAGGCAAATAAAGATGCATATTATCTTACCTGTGTCCTCCTTGGTTGCAATACTGGAAGAAAGTAAAGGTGCATTTTCTAAAATTTTGATCACTGTACTGCATCTTTCTTTTTCCCATTTTTGTCTATGAAGTTCTGGGAAAAAAACAATACAGTATTTGGGAAAATCTTTTAAAAGAAATGTTTTAGGAAAATTTGGTAGAATCCTCAAATATTCACTAACTCCAATAATCAATACAGTATTTTCTATGGCTGAAATGTGGTTAAGCCCTTGAAAAAGAATGATTTTGCAGAAAGAACAGTGATTTTTTTTCATATTAATTCTTATTTCCTATCAACCTACTTCTAAGGCAGAGGTACCTCCAGCATCCTATTTGTGGACCAGGATCCAGTATCTTGCCATCAACTAGAAACAAAATGGCCAAATTTTGTGTGTAATTTTAGGCATAATGATAATGATAGCACTGTCTCCCTCTCCTATTTCTGCCTTTAAAATCTAAAGCACAAAAAGGAGCCAAAAGTATCAGCCTGACAATTTGTGATGGCATCCAAGACATCCCTAACCCAACCCTAATATTGTTGAAGTTGTTCTTATCTGTACTAAATGTTTCAGACTTTCAAGAATATATTGGAAAAGCACAGATATCTTCAGGAAGTAAAGAAGAAATTCCTGTTGAGTAATCTTTGGCTCACACAATCCAGATTTTATCTTCTATAACCCTTCCATAATGAAAAAAGTTTTAAACATTCAAATATAAGAAAGTAAAGACTATTGCAGGATCCAATCTGGGTCAGTCAGTGGGACCAGAGTTTTAGTCTTCCAAGCTTTCAGATTAGTGCTCGAGCCCATCCTCAGGGAACTTCTCTCTAGCAGAAGTTGGAAAATCTGGGTCTGGAACCCAAACTGGATTCTGCAACATCATCCTGGGACACATATATTCGCCTTAATTCATAAGCAAAGACTGTATTTGGAACCTTGAGGAAAAGGTGTTTGAAAAAATCTCCACTACGATATACATACCAATCTTCTTTATTGTTTGAAAGTGCAATCCTACTCAGAAGCAAGTCATGCCAAATTCTGATAAGCATTCCTAGGACTGCATTGTCAGAAAAGCTTTAATCATCTACACTGGTGGTGTAAGCCACACAACCTTATGAAAACTAATCTCAGACCATGGTCTCCAAACAGATCATTTCTGAATATACCTTTTTGATCCACACTTGTTTTCTTCAATTCCATTTCACTGAAGTTCTTGGATATGACTTCTGTTTCTGAATTCTTGCTTCCTGCATACGTACCATCCTCCTTCTTAAGATTAAGATATCATTATTAACTGAACAACCTAAATAAAGTTGAAAGTCATACTATACTCAATATTATATGAGTAAACATCCATTTACATAAAAGGACGTTCCTATGCTCTTATGTTCACTCCACATATGGTCACTATATTTGCTCAGGACAATCCTTAAAACTCTTGAGCAGGTGTAAAAGCTGCATATGAATAAGACAAGGGGAAAAAATATCTACTCTCAGGAAAATCAGGAAAGAAAAATATGTTCTGTTGGAAAAAGTCATTTAAATACATCCCTTTTTTATCAGGGAAAAAAATTAAACACATTTCTGAATACCAACTATTTAGTAATTAAACTGTATGCTGTCAAACACAAAAGAGTCTTGATCTCGAATGCCAAGTGACATTCACTGTAAAAAAGAATGATTTGGTTTAAGGAAAGGACGTGCCAGAAGTACTGTTGGAGAAAGGCAAAGACTGATTGAACATAAAAGTCCATATTCAGGATTATCCTGTGGTGATTACAATGGTGAATAGTTACCCACCAGTCCAGTTTAAGATGCTATGATCTTGCTGGGGGGCGGCGTGTGTGTGTGGAGGCAGGAGAGATGGGTTACAGAAACAGCCTAGTTTTAGGGTGGATTCAGTATGGAGATGGCATTAGTCACATTGCTGATGGCATCTGATGACGCTGGAATGGTGGTATGTCCATCCTCGTGATTTCTCAGTGGCTTTCAATATCCTCAATCACAGTTCTGCATCAGCTACATGGTTTGGGAATTATGGGCAGCACATCATAATGGTTTTCTTTCTTGGTGGTCAATTCCAGTCAGTGTAAGCAAGTGGGAGAAGTCTCAGAATGAGCCCCTTATCTGTAGGATGCCTCAAAGCTTGATACACTCTCGCCTATTAACTTCTATAGGAAAACCCTGGGAGAGGTCATCTGTTAGTTTGGGGGCTGCTATCATCAATATGTGGATGACACCAATTGTTCACCTTGATCTTGGGCAGGCCAAGTGCTGCCATCAATGTCCTATATCTGAAGACTGTGTGGGTCCAGATGTAGAGACACAGACATGCTCAAGATTGCAAAAACAAAATGGCTGTGGATTTTTGCCCCCCTCCTCCCAAATCTGAAGACTTTTTATTTTTAGATTGGGATTGAGTTGCACTTCCCCATTTAAGACTGCTGTCCAATCTGGAGTTAACTCACAGTTCCTGCACAAAGATCAGGTGGTAGCTGTGGCGAACAGGGCCTCAGCCCAACTACAACCAGTGCATCAGATATGCTTGTTTCTAGATTGGGAGGCTCTTCAAACAGTAACCCATATACAAGTCACCTCACAGTTAGACTAATGTAATGCAATCCATGTGGGACTGTTCTTGGAGACTTCATGGAAACTACAGCTGGTTCATTTTGCAGTGGAATGGGTAATTTGGGCATGCCTTGATATGCCCATGTGATACCTTTGGGGAAGAAACTTGGAGAGAGGAAATCATACAAAGACAGTGCTTCCTTAACTCACATTTTTGGGAATGACTGTGGCAACTGTTTCTGCCAATGAAAAGCTGTACCTTTCTAAAGAGCCGTCACTAGGTACAGCAAGTGTGCCCACATGAGACATGAAGCACCATTCCTATTTCTGACCCAAATGCAATATTCATTTGTATGCTATTACCTCTGGAAATGAAGATTGTCCAATACATTTTGCCAGGCACTTTCTTGCAAGAATTGTACTAGCTGATGGACGGTACTTGGGATTCATCTTGAACATCTGCTTTATCAAATAGTGAAGTTCATAGCTATAGTGTGATGGAAGTGGATTGTAGTATCCTTTACATGTCTTAAGTATAAGATGTTTCCAACTCTTAGCCTGAAACTAAATTTAACAAATACAGGAAAACATACAGCTTAGTAGTAGTAACATTTTTAGTTTATTAAAAACTCTATAAAAATTCATTCATATCATCTTTGCACAATTTATGTGAATGATTTAACAGTGCATGATACATCAGAAGTAAGAATTCTATTGTCAGGAATAAAGGCAGGGTGACAGAAACCAGTGATTCCTAAGCTTGGGCAAACCATTGTATCAACATCACCCAGAAGCCTTTCATAGCCTTGAGTATCCAGAAAGCCAGGAATTCTTAATTTTTAAATGAAATTAATATTTAAATTAATGAGAGTCCTAATTTTTGGACTACAGACCTGTGCAGCACATGGGTTTAAAAAGCTGTTCCTGCAATTGGCAGATATTTTCTGTTATTTGATTTCATTCTTCTCAAAAATAAAAAAACAATCTAGCTGTTTCAGACCAATGAGATTTCTGCTCAGAAACATTCTGAATGTGGGATTTAGTCTCTGGGGAGTTAAGATTTGTTTTTGTCTCTGACATGAAACCTGACACTTATGATATTCTGTATTTTTTGCTTTTCAATCTCACTTATTTCCTTGCATGTTTACTATGTGGCCTATAGGGCTAATTATTAGTGTCATTAAATTGAGCTATATTATGTTGTTCTATACACATTCTAGTATGTATGTGTTACAAAATTAAAGTATTGCTAACTGGGGAGAGGGTACACACACATAGGAACTGCATCATTTCCTGGAAATAAAACATTAAAAAAAATACTCACTGGATGTTTTAAGGTGCACAGCTCATATAAAACACAGCCCAGAGACCAAATATCACTAGAAAAGCAAGATTTAAATATGTTAGCTTAAGATCACAGTTAATATGACATTTGCTAAAAATAAGTTATGTGGGTTTTTTCTTTCTTTTTTGTTCCCAAGGTGCTGCATGAGGAATTAAAAATAGCCATGTTAAATAGAATGTCGGGTACTGCAAAAACATGTATTGTAGTGTGAGGCAGTTCTTCCTAATTGTTGTAATCACAACAGGAGTTTAATATAACAAAATAAAGAATTGTAGGAAGCAGGGTTGCTGAACTTTCCCCCCTCTAAACGCTAATGAGGAGAAACTAGAAGAGAAACGATAAAGCGTTGTGAAGCAGAAAACAGAAGGAAATTGTTAAATAGCTCTTGGACCCTACCAAAATGTTATGTCTGTTTTTCTCCAATAGCAAATCAACATGTTATATGTTGAAATTAAAATGCAACTAGACACGATGACAAATGAGTTCAATCCTGATCCTGCCAACAGAACAAGATTGAGCTAATTTAAAGGACAGCATGGGGCAGGTGAAGAGAAAATCTTATCTTGTTCCGTTTCTTACTAGAACGTCAGTTTCCTTTGATTTACTGTTAATGCTACTATTTTCAATCAGAGTTCTTCCTGAGAGAGACTGTGATTTTTTGGGGGGTGGGTGGGATGAATAAGTATAATTTTAATCTTGCAGCCAACATTCCAAATAGTAATCTTTGAGTTTTTGTACTCTACTGTAGTTTTCTCCTGTGCTATGGATTCTTTTATTGGCAGCCTAGACTCTTAAATGTAGGAAAGGAAGGTTGCTATTAGATTGATTGATTGATTGATTGATTGATTGATTGATTGATTGATTCTCTTATTTAGAGGATCACTTGATTATGGTCACTTGGTGGAATCAAGTCAAACCTGTTATTATGGTCACTAATTAAAAGGTTGTAACACAACAAAGGTTAATAGATGGAGAGAAAAACTCAAAATATTAAAGAACAAACTTGCTAAATGGCTTCTCCAAAGAGGAGTTCCTATTTATAGGCTGTAAACATGCACTTAGTAATTTAAACAACATATTAAAACTCAGACAGTCCAACAGGATCTGTCTGCTCCACCCAAGAATGTTTTCTTGAGCAGTCAGACCAGGGGTGAAATCCAGCAGGTTCTGGAGAACCAGTAGCGGAAATTTTGAGTAGTTCGGAGAACCGGCAAATGCCACCTCTGGCTGGCCCCAGAATGAGGTGCGAATGGAGATTTTGCAATATCCTTCCCACAGGAGTGGGGAAGGAATGGAGATTTTGCAGCATCCTTCCCCTCCCACGCCCACCAAGCCAGTAGCAAAAAAAATTGAATTTCACCAATGAGTCAGATCCCACTTCACATAAGCAAGATACATATATAACCATTTCTAAATTTTGGAGGGCACTAATTCTAACATACTATAAGGATCCCTCCAGATTTGAGGTTATTAAAACCTGCCTTATGAAGTTTATCTTTTGCATGGAATACATTCCCCCTACTTACATTATTTAAAAAATATTTTAAAGAAAATTTATTTTTTAAGTTCTATCAGTTATTCCTTGCCACAAGTGCATAAAATATTTAGTTTTGAATCATGTTTGTAAATTGAGTAATATTCTCAAATTGTGAGCACTATATACAATTTTTCCATTAGTTCTCCAATATTATAGAGTTTTAAAATCAAGATTCTTATAGACTTTGATTAATTCTTACCTTTTATTGTTGTATGGCATATTCTCCCAAATTTCTGGAGGCACATAGTAAGGGGTTCCTACATATGAACAAGCATATGCCATGGGGCTAGTCCAAAAACAAATATAAATGTTAGTGATGAACGGATGAATATTCGAACAGCAACCAGTTATTAGATATTTTTTTTAAAAGTCAAAACAAATTTCTAGACACAATTTGACATATACTTGCTTTTTAAGAAGAACTGCAGATCCAAAGTCTCCCAGTTTTATTTTTCCATTTTGTGTGAGAAATACATTCTATATTTGAAACAGAAATAAGATGGATTTCATTCTCTATACAGTGTATTTTCATTTCTATTTACAGCATCAGCCCTATTTAATGACCCTATTAATAGTATATACTATGTTTAATTCCATGTTCTAGAGATTAAGGATCAATAATTATAATTAATGTTTTTCATTATTATGGTTCATCATACAGAATGAATCAATCAGATGTTTAGCCTGGATCTGACATTTTTATCCATCCATTGAGTCCTTTCCAAGGCCCTCAGCTAGACAGTTTATGTTGTTTGATGCTGAAGATATTGTTGCAGAATGGAAACTGATCCAAGTGAAGCTGCCTTTTGCAATTGACTGACTCATTTTGTCAATGTCAATGGCTCCAGATGTTTTGGGATTGCACCCAAGATGCCCTTGCTTTCTTCTTCCTCTTACTACTATTATATCCAAATATTAATCACGATGTCCCAACTCAGCTTAAATGGAAACTTCCCTTAGTAAATCACATTAAAAGAATTACCTTATTTCAGATGATGAGTCTGACACAAATGGACTTCAAATAATCTCTATACTTATCTCATTGGATAAAGCACATACTTCCATTTGACTGTGAGCTTGGACTCAAACAAGACAGATAGGCCATTCTGGAGGCTGGGGGCACATTTAGCATTTTGAGACCATGTTCAGGGAGCATGCTTAATGAATAGTTGCCTATTTTAGAATATCTGCCACAGTGGATATAACCAGTAATAATACACTCATTTATGAGAAAGTAACCAGCTCTCTGCACTACTACACCAATTGGAATTTTATAGGGCATGGATCACTCTGATATTAGAGGCTTGTACCTTGATATGCAGTATGAAAACTACAATTTATTTCCATTAATGTAATATTTTATTTAAGTTAAGTCAATAAGATAGTCCAGTGAGCATGAAAGAGTTGCCTTGGAACATACTTTGTTATTGGTATGTGAGTGGTTTGATAAAAACAGGAATACATATAAATATTTGTATGTATTTAAAGTAATACTAAACTGACATTTATAGTACAGATAGTTTTATAGTTCTCAGCTTTCTAAACAGGAAATGCCTGGTAGTAATTTTATAGTAAAACCTACTGAGGAGATTCCAATTACCTTTGATTTGATGTCTCTGTGCAATATATGTTTCTCATGAATATAATTTACACCCAAACATATCTGCGCAAACCATTTAAGTATCTGTGAGAGAGACAAAATACAGCAAATGAAAATGAACTGAACTGTAAAAGAATATTGGTCAATAGCCATACAATTAGATACAATATGTGAAATCAAGCAAGTACTTCAAAATATTCTACTGTTAATCTGCATTAGTATTGTGAATACTACTAATTCATTCTTAGTTTATATATGAACCTGGTTAGTCTCAAAGAAATTTTATATTGGATTAATATGAGCTACTTGAAACATGTTCCACCATAGAAATGATACTTTACTGCATCTAAAAAGGTTTAATTAAACCCTTATTCAAACCTGAAATCAAAAGAAGTGTATATTGATACCATCTACAGCAGGGTCCCCACCGGGTACCGGGCCACGGCATGCCAGAAACCAGTTCACGCAACAAGCAAACCTCCATCCATGGGATGCAGGCAGCACATGAAACCACACCCCCTCCAGTCTACGGAAAAACCTCTCTCCGTGGAACCAGTCCCTGGTGCCCAAAAGGTTGAGGGCCACTGATCTACAGGATGTAAAGTATATTTCCAGATTCTAAAGGATGAAAACAGTCCTTTATCTTTTACAAATACAGCCATGCAAAATATGTACAAAGAAGAAAATATAGTTTTGAAGTGATTTATTCTTTAAACACCCCTCCTGCACGAGCTGCACTGGCTCCCAGTGGTCTTCCGGGTGCGATTCAAGGTGTTGGTTACCACCTTTAAAGTGCTCCATGGCATAGGACCCGGGTATCTTCGAGACCGACTTCTGCCACCAATAGCTTCCCACCGGCCAGTTCGCTCCCACAGAGAGGGTCTCCTCAGGGTGCCATCGGCCAAGTTATGTCGGCTGGCGACACCCAGGGGGAGGGCCTTCTCTGTGGGAGCCCCAGCCCTGTGGAATGAACTGCCCCCGGAAATACGTAAGATCTCCGACCTCCGGGTGTTTCGTTGCGCATTGAAGACCCTGTTGTTCCACCAGGCCGGGCTATCAACATAATGATTTTAAAATTGGGGTATTTTAAATTTTTGGGGTTTTAAACCGGCCAAATCTATTTAATTATTTTAAATTTTAATCATTGTTGTGTCTTGTGTTTTTAAATTGGCTGTACACCGTCCTGAGTCCTTCGGGAGAAGGGCGGTATAGAAATAAAATTATTATTATTATTATTATTATTTTACTTTTCAAAATGAAAAATTATAAATTTTGCCTGATCTGCCATGCTGATACAAAAGATTGCATAATATTGTATAAAGAAACTCTATATTAGTGTCACTGTATAAAGAGAACTGTATTTATCTGCAGAAGCTAAAATTCAGGAATTTGGAGCACCTTTCCAGACTAACAAATTTTACCTGATAAAGGGATCCATGGCTCTCAAAAATTGATGCCATTTAATAATGGTTAATTGGAAAAGCTGATACCAAATTCCCGATTTTGGGCTATAAGCGGCACAATCATGATAAGGTTATCCCTTTTACTTTGTACTTTATATTCTTTGTATTTAGCTCCACTTTAAAAACATTTTTGGTCTACTGCTATGATTACAACAATAAATCAAGGGGTGCTAATAAAGGACAGACTATTTCTCTACAGCCTATTAACACCTCTCCCAACATTCATCAAAGTCTCCCGTCTCAATTATATAAAAATTTGAATATATTTGAATTCTTACTGTATCTTCAGGAAACAATTTCCCCTTCTGAAATTTAATCTTTTGTAGGAGATCTCCACCATCACAATATTCCATCACTATATGCAGATGTCCATCAGCTAATTTTTAAACAATTTTCAAAATCATTAGTATTAAATCAAGTGAAATGTAACAAACAGTAAACATCAAGAAGATGAAAAGACATTTGCAATTCAGCAAATTGATTAATGTAATTATAATATGTAACATTATTAAAATGCACATATTTACCTTCAAAGGAGTCTGCATACATCACAATATTTGGGTGATTCATTTTAGCCAATATTATAGATTCATTCCAGGACTTTTCTATATTGAAGACAGACTAAAAATATATTACTTGTAAGTAAAAATAGATAACTCATTGTTTTATACCTTCCTTATTGTATTTCTTGCTTTTGCTCATCAAAGTATCAAAGGCTTAATATTTATGAATATAGTAAAATAATATTTTTAAACAAAAATAAGCATCCTTCAAAATAAATTTATACAAGCAAGAAGAAAAAAATCACAAAGACCCAAACATTCCATTTAGCAATCGGTATATAAAATTAAACAAAAATTTGATAAAGAGCAAATGAAAATGTTATTTAACAAGATATTGCCACCAGAACAGAGAAAGTCAGAGAGCAGAGCAATTTCTTGAGGTAACAAGGCCACCAGGGCAGGGCACCAGTAATGCAAAAGTTGTCTTATTATTTATCATCAATCAAATCTCTGAAGGCAATGGTAGTTGTTAAATGGGGATCAGGTAATTATAAAGGTTTCATTTCAAATGAAACTGAGAACTCCCGGGACATAAATTATAATTATAATCTCTAGGTATCCTGGGCTTGGTTTGGGCACAATCTTATACCAGAAATTATTAGATTAACTTGCTACCATAATCCCTGTAGGTAGCATTCTTTAAGCAAAGGTACCTGGATGGAAGTTATTCTTGTTGGACAAGCAACAAGAATAATTAATGAATAGTGGTTCCACAGATATCTTGATCCTGAACCAGTTTTAAGGATAACAATAAACACTTTGAATTGCACCTGAAAGCCAATTGACAAGTATTGCAATGCTCTAACTAGTGGGATTAGAGTTAGGGAAAGAAGTAGTTACCTTGGGAAGTCTTATCTCTTTCATTGCATATTTCTGTCTTGTGCTTTTATGCTGAACTAAGAGGACTCTACCAAATGATCCTTCTCCAAGTTCCATTAGTACATTGTAATTCTCCATGATAATCAAACCACTTCAGTTTTTGCAGGTGTCTTCAGAAAGCTCAGCAGGTTCAATGTTTCCTTTCACCAAAATTTCCTAGTAACAAGTATCAAAATAATAAAAGACATGGTTGATTATCGATTCATCTTTATGCTATACTCCATTTCTCTCTCTCCAACTTCAAAACTAAAAGCTTTGCAAATTATTAAAGTACCGTATTTATATATTTATATGTATAACCGGTAATTACGGTATCCAATTTAGCCATTTTTCCAATCTGCTAACTGAAGACCTCTGGATAATTAACATAATGCAGGTCTCTTTATTTAACTCTACACTCTTTGAATTAGTGGTGACTAATGAAGTGGTGACTCATAATTGATAGTGATTTGTTCAAACATATATAAATGAAATATGACAGAAAAGAACTCCTCTACCACCAACCAGAATAATCTCTAGACATCAGATTTCGAAAGGATACATTAGACAGCTATTACAGTCTCTATAACACATAAAAAATATTAATTCGTTTTTCCATTCTTGCGCGTATAGTATCCTAGCTGCAGTAGTGATGTGGAGGATCAAGTACCATTTTTCCTTAGTTATTTTGTCTGGTTTCATTCCTAATAAAAGTCTCTGGTTTCAGCTCTATATTATATCCTGTAATTTCCACTATCCAGTTCCGAACCTTGGATCAATATTTGCCTGCTTTGGGGCACGTCCACCATTGGTGGTAGTACGTCCCACTACCATTCCCACACTTCCAGCATGCTGGGGAAACTCCCAGGAACATTCTTGCGATTCTTGCCAGGGGAATATGCCAACAATAGACCATTTTATAAATATTTTCCTTGTAGCAGGTTGACAAAGTAAATTGATTTGGAAAATTACAGAATGCGCAGAGGCAGACCGGTTAACGAAATTACTTAGGAACCAAAAAGATTCTGATTATTACAAATGTTGGAATTCATGGTATAATTGGGTGAAAGAAAAGAGAGCGAATTGAAATGGATTGTATTAGTGGTATAGGCGCATATTTGTATACGTTAGTTGCAATAACCTTGTATGTATATATGTAAAGTATTGTATTTTTAAAAATGAAAATAAACTTTGTAAAAAACATATAAAAATACGTTATTGTTATCAATCATGTCCCAATATCTGGTGCAAGTACCTGGTGACATTACATCACCATTTTCCTGCTTTATACTCTCATCTATATGTAAGGAAATTTCAATATTGGTCAACTTCAGTGAATGATCCCAATTAATCCCCTTCTTGGGCAACATTCAATCTACTTCTAATTATGTTTCTGTTTCTTCATCCAACTCTGATAGATCAAGGAAATAATTTTGGGGCATTATGCTTGTGTTCAGCCATAATGATTAAACTGTCAAACCCATATCAATCATGTCTCTACGTAGTCCTTGACTTACGACCACAACTGGAACTAGCAAGATGGTTGTTAAGTGAGTTGTGCCCAATTTTACCACTTTTTTGCTATGGTTGTTAAGCGAATCACATGGTCATTAAGCGAATCCAACTCCCCGCATTGACTATGTTGTCAAACGCTGGCTGGAAAAGTCGTAAATGATGATCACATGACCCCAGGACAATGCAACTGTCATAAATACAGGCTTGGTGGCCAAGCACCCAAGTTGTGATCCACCCCAAAGGCAGCAGTTACAGTACATCAAGAAAATGAAAGACACAGGGTTGACCAACATAGGCAGGGTGAAATCCAGCAGGTTCTAACAGGTTCTGGAAAACTGGTAGCGGAAATTTTGAGCAGTTCGGAGAACCGGCAAATACCACCTCTGGCTGGCCCCAGGAGTGGGGAAGGAATGGAGATTTTGCAATATCCTTCCCCCAGGAGTGGGGAAGGAATGGAGATTTTGCAATATCCTTCCCCCAGGAGTGGGGAGGGAATGGAGATATTTCAGTATCCCTGGAGTGGGGTGGGAATGGAGATTTTGCAATATCCTTCCCCCAGGAGTGGGGAGGGAATGGAGATTTTGCAGTATCCCTGGAGTGGGATGGGAATGGAGATTTTGCAGTATCCTTCCCCTGCCACGCCCACAAAACCGGTAATAAAAAATTTGGATTTCACCAACTGAGCATAGGGCATTTTTTTCAGCGCCGCAGGCACACAAACACAGAGGATTTCAGACTTAGTTTAGTTCTACAAGAGCAAGGAGACTATCATTAATCGCGTTTTTCATCCTCAATAAGAGACATACCGGCCCGGAATACCTTCGCTGGCTTGGGAGGCAAAGGACACGAATTTTTCCAACGCCCTTTCAGGCGCGGGAGGGCGGAGGCTGAACGTCGTGAAGAAACCTCAAACCCGTCCCTACATCCAGCCAGCAACTCTCACCCTACATCCAGCAAATCCCGTTCGGGGAAGCCAGTTCCGTTGAGGGGAGAAAAGGAGCTTCCCGCCCCCCTTTTGACTGAGACAGCCGTAAAGTAGGGATCCTCTTCTTGCTAGTATACTTTAGATGCACGCAAGCGGCTCGCAATGGGCCTCTCTCTTACGACGCCCGCCGTTCTCCGGCGGCCTACCGAGACGCTGCAAATTCGGATCGAGCGACTCTTGCCCCTCTCGGCTCAGCCAGGTCAGCGGCGTAGAGAAAGTACAGAGGGTGGAGACAATGGTCCCGAAGGGCGTGGTTTCGATGGAAAGCGCAAAGCTTGCTTTTGCACGGGGGGTAGATCATGAAAGGTAGATTTTTAGTTTCCTCCGAGTAGATTTTCTTCCAGGGATCCCTTTAGAAGTGATTTTGATAGTGGACTTCTTGGTAAGCTCATGAACTACTAGAGACTGTTGCTGCCCACGGGGTTGTGTGTTAATGGAGCCCGTTTCAAACAGAGGGAGATCAAGTGCTGGGAATAAAAGGAGGGGGTTCTGGGTTTGAACTGCGCCCTCCCCCCTTCCCCAAATACACACACCAAAATCCTGCTATGCTGCTTCATCGGACTGGTGGTGGGAATGTTCCCGAGTCTGTGCCAAGACAATATATGCCACGAAGTCACCCAAGGCATGAAGGTCATCTCCAGCTGCCCCAGTTGCATTGGGCAGTCATATGGGAAGGAGCTGGAGGCCGAGCGGTCACAATGGCAAAAGCTCACACTTTGCAGAAGCAGTGGTTTCTACCAAAAATAAATAAATAAATGGACAATATGAAGTGACTGACAAAGTGAGATTGGATGATGGGCCTCACAGGTCAGATCATGCCCAATATGCAATTGAGGAAAAGCTGAATATCTTTTGGAGCATTAAGGTAACGGCGCTAATGGCATGAATAGATTAAAACCCTGAGGATGTCTGCTTGTTGATGTTGCCATACGGTAAAAGACCATCAAAGTTGCAAAGACAAAATTACAATGAGAACATGGGGAAGCTCAACACAATGAAAGATGACATGATTACACATTGAATCTTAGGCATCAATAAACTGAAATGGTCTGGTATCGGGTAGTTTCAAATTAGCCGACGATACTGTTTTATTTATTTATTTTATTTTTATTAGATTTATATACCGCCCTACTCCCGAAGGACTCCCGAAGGAGGTGAACAGGCACAAAATAAAATACATAGATACAAAAGTTAAAAAACATAATTAAAACCAGATTAAATAATTTAGCCCGAGACAATTAAAAAATCCCAATAATTTAAAACAGATTAAAATTTCGATTTAAAAGAATTTTAAAACAGGGGAGAAAATTAGGCCAGGCCGGCTTGCTGGAATAGGAGAGTTTTAAGAGCACGGCAGAAAGTGCACAGATTCGGGATCCTCCGTATCTCTGGGGGGAGCTCATTCCAGATAGTGGGTGCCCCCACAGAGAAGACCCTCCCCCTGGGGGCCGCCAGTCAACATTGTTTAGCTGACGGCACCCAGAGGAGCCCCTCTCTATGAGAGTGTACCGGCCGGTGGGAGGCTGCTTGTGGTAGAAGGCAGTCCTGAATTTTACAATTCAGGATATGAAAAACAAAGGAATTTCATTGCTTTCATAATCAAGAAAGATGCTTGGGTACAGTGCAGTTAATGGCCAAATAATACCAATTGACCTTTAATATGAAGGTTATCCTGGTTTATAATGGAAAGGAATGCAATGAATTTTATGATTGAGTTCAAATGTACTGCTTGTAGATAGAGGCTGGTATGCCAAGATTGAGGAAAATCTCTGGCCTAGGAAACTGAAACAGGGAAACAACTTATCAATTTACTTCAATCTAATTATTTCAGTGGTAATGCAATCTTCAAAAAAACAGACACCTATACAAAAGGAATGCCACCAGATAAGAGTATATAGAAATCAAATTGACTGCTGGTACACTCATCCACTTTGACATCAATAGTGCTAAGAGATACTGGTAGAACCCATGATAAAATTCTGGAGTTCTTAAGAATTCAGCATCTTACATCCTACTCTCTGCTGAAGTTGTTGGGCGGTTTGGTGAGGGCAAATTGGCAGTTAGAAATCTTTTCTCCATGTAGAATAGATGATCTTCCAGGAAGTGGAATTATTGACATCCAATTGTTTTGCAAATATTTAAAATTCTTCCCTAGCCTCATTTGCATATATAACCTCTCTGAAAGCCTAAGTTTTGATTTGGCATGGTCAGATACCTCAACAGAGCAAATCAATGGACTAGAAATGGAAATGGACTAGAAATGTAGATAGGGTATGTTTGTTATATGTCCTTTATAAATATTGTTGATATAAAGAGCAAATATTTGCTGAAATATATTTAGAGTGTGCTTACTTTTTTACATGACCATGTTTTGTTAAATGTCTGGACTCCTTTCAGTTTCAGTTGGTGGACAAATCTCAAATAATTATCAATGTGTAAACTATTTGGGGCTATAAATATCTGTTAATGTTATACTCTTAAATACTCTTGAACCAAACTTCCAGACTATATGTAGCTGAGCAACAGTATGAAAGAAGATTGCCATTGCCACCTCCATGGATTTCAGCTGACAAATTGTTACTCCATGTCCTTAATAGGCACTAACATTTTATATAAAACTGGCAATTTTATTTCCACAAACTTCTCAAGAGTTGTTAATGTTCTATTTCAATCTCTTTGCCTACCCAAGCATATATAACATATACAACAATTAGTCTTAGACCAGAGACTATACATATATACATCAACATACATAATACATGACATACATACATACATATATATATATATATACATACACACCAAGAAATTCAGAAAAGTTTTCAAAAAGGTAAATTTTTAAAAAGTTTACAATATCAACATTAAAAGTGAATTAACATTCAACACATTGAAAATTATCAAAAAGGTTAGTGACTATTGGCAATATTTGTAAAGGTTATCTTCAGATCTACAAACTAGACACGTTTTTGTATTCCTTGCCCACAAAGTTCAACTTCGTTAAATGCTATCATTTCATTATAGTTTAGTGTCATCAATGATAAGATTGTTATAAATGTATCTCTTTTACATGTTAAAGCATAGCAATCCTTCCCATATTAGATATGTTTTGTTTATTTATTTAGTAACAGTAAAGCTAAATTAAGTTAGTTAAACCATGGGAATTTAACACCTGCACTGAATTAATTTCAGCTTAAATAAAAACGTGCTTTTATTCTCTGCTTTGCTCCCATTGACTGATAGTTGCAGTGTTGACAGTTTATAATGCATTGTTTGGTCGGTAGATGAAACCAGTGCCTTCATCTCCTAATTCTCCAAGCTGTTCAAGTGAAGAAACACAAGGGCTATGATCTTTCAGCATGCTTGGTAACTTATCTCCTTTTTCATGGATACGGCAGGACCGTCTCACAGGCGTTAGGAATTTCAGGTTTTTAATTGTAGAATCATCACACTGCAGCCTTTTCTTTGTGCTTAGGGTCAAAAAGAGAAATCATTTATGTATTTACAGGATTAGAATGCAATAATTCAATGTGGCTTGGCAACAGAACAGCCTTAGTAAGTGAATAACAGTAATACAAATATTAATTTGGCATTAAATATTTGAATATTGTAAGAAAAATACATTGTTTCTCTATGGATAATGCATATATACTTATTTCAGCCATGTATGATTTTAGGAACATAAAACCATGCCAGTTTAAAAGACTGATCATTTTGACTGCCAAAACTGGTTTAGAAAATATTTCGGGATTTGGTTTTTGGGCCAAAGTTGCAAGTCTTAGTCACTGTTGCTATATACCTTTTTATAATGATATAGATCCAGGTGGCTTGTTTTATTACTTATAAAAAGTAAATGGAAACTCCTAAAGAATTGATTCAGTGCTCTTAACTTGATGGAGATCTGATTTATAGAGTTTACAATTGGTTTACATTATAATTTGCAACTCCTAATTTATGACCTATATTATGACATTATATTACTGAAATTTAAATACTTTGAAATTCTAAATATGCCACATCAATACTAAATGCAATATTACCACCGTTGCTATTTAAAATATTTATACATGGCTTCTAGACATCTAGTAGCAAGAGATTATTTTTCCTGACAATGTACTCTATTGCCCAGCAAGCCTAAAGGGAAGACAGATATGGTCAATATAATTGAGAGATAGGTGGAAATCTTTTAAAAAGTATATCATGTTAAAATCAAAGATTATTCCCCAAGAAATATGTACAATTATCTTTTTTCCAAACTCTCCAGATAAATTAGAACCAATGGCTATCCTGGCTACAATGACGATCTGGAATGAGCTCCCCCCAGAGATACGGAGGATTCCGGATCTGCGCACCTTCCGCCGCGAGCTGAAGACTCTTTTATTTCATCAAGCCGGCCTCGCCTAAATCTTCTCCCTTTTAAGTGTAAATTTTAAATTTTTACTGTATTTTAAAATATGAGTATTTTAAATTATGGGTATCAATTCAGCCAAATTTATTTAATTCATTTTATTCGATTTTAAATTTTGTATATGTATGTGTTTTATTTCATGGCTGTTCACCGCCCTGAGTCCTTCGGGAGTAGGGCGGTATAGAAATTCAATAAATAAATAAATAAATAAATAAAATGAGGACCCAGATTGTGGGGGCAATAAGCTGACTTTGTATAAATATACAAAAATATGAAGGCTATTGCTTAACACATTGTAAGCCGCCCTGTCTCCGGAGAAAGGCGGCATATAAATTAAAGCAAATAAATAAACAAATAAATAAATTGTTGTCCTATTTGTCTTAAAGGAATTTAAGGGGTCCCAGGTAGTTTAGGGTGCTATGGGGTTGGGGGAAGAGTCATTAACAAGTTGAGGTAAGGAATTGCTGCAGTGTGACGCAAACTCAGGAGGGCCAGGGATAGGGTGTGTGGTTTGTGAGCAAAGGGGAGGAGGGCATGGTGTGTGAAAGCAAAAATATAGCTGGAGGTGAAGGCAATTTGCCTGAGTGACTTGCAACCTTCCCTGCTGGCTTTCCCATTGTCTTTGCTTGTGGGAAGTTAACTCGGAGGGTTACAAATGGTGATCATATGACCGTGGAATATGAAGCTAATCATAAGTCAACTGGTTGCAATGTCTTGAAATTGGAGCCTGGATAGCTCAGCAGACTAATGCATTGTAATTTAACTCCAGCTGTCTGCAATTAGTAAGTTCGAATCTTGCCAGGCTCAAGGTTGACTCAGCCTTCCATCCTTTCTAAGGTAGGTAAATTGAGGACCCAGTTTGTGGGGGCAATAAGCTGACTTTGTAAAAAATATACAAAAGTATGAAGGCTATTGCTTAACGCATTGTAAGCCGCCCTTAGTCTCCGGAGAAGGGCGGCATATAAATCAAATTTTAAAAAAATTGTTGAATTTGTGCTTGAAATTTGTACGCACCATGGTAAATTCAAATAGTTGAACAAATACTTGTAACTCAAGTACTACATACAGTGGCATTTTAGTTTAAAACAAAATACTTCTTTTGAAGATAGGCTATAACTGGTAAGATCTCATATTAAGACTTACCTAGTGGCGATAAAAGCGGCAAAATGTAACTATTTTTCCGCTCTTATCGCATCGGCAGATAATCGCCCGGCCGCCCTGTTTAGGGTGACCCGTTCCCTCCTTCATCTGGGAGCGCGGGAGGATCCCTTGCAGGGTCGTGCCGAGGATTTTGTTCAGTATCTGCACGATAAAATCACTCAGATTCGGGAAGGCTTGGTCTCTGACTGGGTAGGTACAGACGGGATGATGGGTGTCGGTCTTGAGACTGCCATCTGGGAGGAGTTCGACCCTGTTGCTCCCGAGGACATGGACAGGATACTGGGGCGGCTGAACGCGACATGTTTATTGGACCCGTGTCCCTCTTGGTTGGTGCTGGCCTCCCGGGAGGTTACGCGAGGCTGGCTCCAGGGTATTATCAACGCTTCCTTGAGCGAGGGTGTCTTGCCGTCCGCCTTGAAAGAGGCGGTGGTGAGGCCCCTCCTCAAGAAGCCTGCTCTGGATCCGGCTGTTTTGGCTAACTATCGTCCGGTCTCCAACCTTCCCTTCTTGGCGAAGGTTGTTGAGAGTGTGGTGGCGCGACAGCTTCCTGGGTACCTGGATGAAGCTGTCTATCTGGATCCGCTCCAGTCCGGCTTCAGGCCTGGGCACAGCACGGAAACGACATTGGTCGCGTTGGTGGATGATCTCTGGAGGGCTCGGGATAGGGGTTGTTCCTCTGTCCTGGTCCTGTTAGATCTCTCAGCGGCTTTTGATACCATCGACCATGGTATCCTGCTGTGCCGGTTGGAGGGGTTGGGAGTGGGGGGCACTGTTTTGCAGTGGTTCTCCTCCTATCTCTGACCGGTCGCAGTCGGTGTTGGCAGGGGGGCAGAGGTCGACCCCGAGGCGCCTTGTTTGTGGGGTGCCTCAGGGGTCGGTCCTCTCGCCCCTTCTGTTCAACATTTATGTGAAGCCGCTGGGTGAGATCATCCGTGGCTTTGGGGTGGAGTTCCATCAGTACGCTGATGATACTCAGCTGTACATCTCCACCCCGGGCCATCCCAACGATGCCCTTGAAGTGATGTCCCAGTGCCTGGAGGCCGTGCGGTTCTGGATGGGGAGTAACAGGCTCCGACTCAACCCTTCCAAGACCGAGTGGCTGTGGCTTCCGGCGTCCCGATATAGCCAGCTGGTACCATCGCTGGCTATTGGGGGCGAGTTATTGGCCCCCACGGATAGGGCTCGCAACTTGGGCGTCCTCCTGGATGCACGGCTGTCTTTAGAAGAGCATATGACGGCCGTGGCCAGGGGGGCTTTTTATCAGGTCCGCCTGATTCGCCAGTTGCGTCCCTTTCTGGATCGGGATTCCTTACGCACAGTCACTCAGGCACTCGTCACTTCCCGCCTGGACTACTGTAATGCTCTCTACATGGGGCTCCCCTTGAGGAGTACCCGGAAGCTCCAACTGGTGCAGAATGCGGCCGCGCGGGGGATTATGGGAGCGAGGGGTCGCTCCCATGTGACACCTCTCCTGCGTGAGCTGCATTGGCTTCCAGTGGTCTTCCAGGTGCGCTTCAAGGTGTTGGTTACCACCTTTAAAGCGCTCCATGGCATAGGACCTGGGTACTTGCGGGACCGCCTTCTGCCGCCGATAGCCTCCCACCGTCCAGTACGCTCCCACAGAGAGGGACTCCTCAGGGTGCCGTCGGCCAGGCAATGTCGGCTGGCGACCCCCAGGGGGAGGGCCTTCTCTGTGGCAGCCCCTGCCCTCTGGAACGATTTGCCCCCGGAGATAAGAAGGATATCGGATCTTCGGGTCTTTCACCGAGCCCTGAAAACTCTTCTTTTCCAGCAAGCAGGGCTGGCGTGAACCCCGCCCCCCTTTTTTTAGTTTTTAATGGGTATTAATTGTTTAGTTTTAATTTGTTAATGGGTTTTAATTCGCACTGTTTTAATTTGGGCCAAAGTATATAATTCTTTTAATTAATTTTAAATTTTGTATTGTTATGTATTTTAGTTTTGGCTGTGCACCGCCCTGAGTCCACCAGGAGAAGGGCGGTATATAAATTGAATAAATAATAATAATAATAATAATAATAATAATAATAATAATAATAATAATAATAATAACTGGGAGCCTGATTCCAATAGGTAAATTTCAACCTGCCAATTTTCACTAATCAGTTTTTTGAGTCCTATAATGCAGGAGTCCCCAACCCTCGGGCCACGGACTGGTACTGAGCCTATTAGGAACTGGGCTGCACAAGCAAGTCAAGCTTCATCTGCGTATGAGCAGGATCTAGGTAGTGCACAAAACCATATCCCCACCACCACCAATCCATGGAAAAACTGTTTTCCCTGAAACTAATCCCTGGTACAAAGTTGCGAGCCATCTCTATAATGGTTTCCAGCTATTAACTTTGTTCTCAATCATAACCTTGAAATTGTTCCCCCCAACCCCCTAAACAAACTCAAATTGGTCAGGTTCACTTTTCCCAAATACTTGGATATTACTACACAAGTTGAGCATGATACCATCCTTTTCAGATTAAGGACAGCAACTCCACATCCTCAGACCCCACATAGAAAAGACCATATTAAGACTCACCTTTCCAAATGGGAAGTTGTTGACAAATTGTATTTTATTAAATATGAGCCTTTTTCATTTTTTGGAGTTTGAATCTCTAGGATTCTATCTTTTTCTGCATTGGTAGCAGTTTCTTCATTTTTTAAGTCTTTCTGCATCTGTTCTTTACTTTTGTTTTTTTTTCCCTCAGGAAAGTCTTCTTTGATTTTTGAGCAAATTTCTGTTGGTTCTTGAAAAGCTTCATTATTATGTTCCACCTCATTATTCAAACTGACTTCCTTGAAAGCCTCCTTTATCTCTGTTTCAGCTGGTCTCTCAGGATTTGCAGTGTTCTCCTCCTTCACACATTCTGAAAAAATATATTCGGTCATGGTATAAAGGCAGGGGTAGAGAGCCATGGCCCTTTTATGACTTGTGGACTTCAACTCCCAGAATTCCTGAGCCAGCAAGAGTTTTCAACAATATTTGAGAAGCCATTGATTGCCAATCCCTGAACTACAGCTTTCATAACAGATGGCTATCCAAACTCTGTTTAAATACATCTAGTTTAACATAGGTGCAACTGCTACCAGGGCTACAAGTAAAGTTCCAATTAAGCTCATGCCTATGCAAAGAAATCAAGTGAACTAACACAGAGGTCTCCAACATGGCTGGCTCAGGAATTCTGGGCGTTGAAGTCCACAGGTCATAAAAGAGCCATGGTTCCCCATTCCTGGTATAAGGCAACTCAATATTTAAGCCTGTTAAAAGAAATTCAAAAGGTACTAAAGATGGAGGCAAATAAAAATATCTATGTTGCTTATAACAAGTAAAATGCAGAGTGAAGCATCACTCTGCATCAGTGTCAGGTTTAGCAAGGCAAAATTGAAGATTTGAAGAAACTAATAATGTTAAATCTTACCATCAGTTTTTGATGGGTCTCGTCTAGCCTTTATAACATCTGCAAAAGTATGACGCAGCTCATCCTTAGGCTGAAAAACCAATTATTAATTTCCAGTTAGCTTAGCTAATTATTTTAGAAAATTTATGACTGCCCAGCTCACTCACTGTGACTATAGATGGCTTACAAAAATAAAACCCTAAATACAAAATTCAATAAACCCTTACCCTCCTCCCCCCAATAAACCACTTGCTCTTTATCACCCTAAGGTCCTCAGGCCACTGGCAAAACCATGTCTTGTAATTATTTACAATATTATAAAAGATCACTATTCAAATGAAACTGGAGATCCAGGTTCAAATTTCCTCAGATATTTTATTAATCAAATTTATATGGCAATCCACCACCCAGGTGACACCGGGTAGAGTAAAATAATATGCTTATGGTTATCTTAGACTGGTCACTCCCACATAAGATTGCTGAACAGAAGAGGATTGGACAATCAACTATACCAATCTCATGACTTTAAATAAATGGTAGAATGTTTTTAACTTTTTAAAAAGTGTAACTTTAAAAAACTGTTTTAACTAAACAATTAAAATATGAGAAAGTTTATAAATATATACATCTCTCATTGGCAAAGAACTGAAAACAAAATTAAATTTAGTGAAACACATTTAAGAGTGTTTACCTGCGCTCCTGCAAGAATTGCATTTTCATAAATAGTTATTACTTTTTCCGTGGAGCGAAACTGTTCAAGACGCATCTGGCACACCCAATACTTAGCAAACTTTT